GTGTGAAGAGAGACCAGTGTTAGGGCTATCTGAGGTCTGCCTCTCAGCCCATCCATGAAAGCAGACAGCTGAGAAGCAGACAAACTTAGAATGGTGGGGCTCTTTTGTTTGTTTATTTGTTTGTCTTTCTACTTTTCTACTTTGTGAAGGAGTGAGAACACTCTGTTATGATGTTTGCAAAAAGATCGAATTAAATATAGGAAATTCATGAGTTTTCCAACAATTTTTTTTCTTAATCATGGGTATTTAAGGGGATATTCTGCTTCATTGTGCTCCAGATAGCTAACATTCATGAATTTAAAGAAACATAATCTATTACACGATTTCCTGAATCCTGACATATTTAAGGTCAACGGTCGCAGTAAGCATACATAGAATTGCACAGAGTTTTAAGGTTTAGCTCCACATCTCCCCGCAGGTGTTTCAGAAATTTTTATGCTCTAGTATTGCCTAGAATAGATCAGTGTTTAATTGGTGGAAGTCATGAAATCATGACCAGAATATTTTCAGGTATTTTATTTTTCAATTATTTTTCTTACGTGGGAAAAAAAATCTGTGGACATTCTATGAAACAGAGAATCTGAAGAGTAGTCACTGTAGAAACATCCTTTCCTATAATTATCATTCCCAGTACTTCCCTGGCTCCCAAATGATCCAATTTATCCGGAAAATGAAATGGGTCAGCTGTTTATGCACTCAGGCTGTTAGGTGTTAGCTGACATCTCCGAAGATTTATGACTAGTCCTTCAATACCTGTCACTTCCTATCCTCCGGGCTGCCACTGTCTAGTAAAACTCAATTTATCTTCCATTAAAGCAGCTAGTAAAAATAAATAGAGGGCGAGCTGAATAACGAATGGAGTGTGGGGAGGATGAAGCGGGGATTTGAATTTGCTGAGTATTGGCTAAAATTGCTGTGCACACTCTGACATGCTATTCAATAACTATTTAATTACTTAGACATTGAGAGTAATCAAGTGGTTTCCAAAATGTATGAAAAGTAAAATAAACATGAAACACTGGAAAACAGCAGCGGTTCCGCTTATGCATCAGTACTTCCAGTCATTAGCAGATTCGGCCATAACAGTCTTTCACTTTTTTTTTTTCTCTTTCCAAAATGTAGCAAGTGACAAACATCTGTCTCTGCTTTCTTCGCGGGAAAGGACCAAAACCTGGATTGCTTCCAGGCCATCCGGATAACAATTTTAACTGGAACAAGTGACCTTTGGAACAGACTAGAACAGAAAAGCCCTGCCAGGCTGAGGCGAGGGTGGAGTCCACTGGAAGGTCCCCAGCTTGTTCTCATGAAATTGCTGCTGAAGAGAATGGTGAAAAGTTAAGGGAAGAAAACTTTAAAAAAAAAAAAAAGTTACAGCCAATGGGAAAAAAAAATGTGTGTCCATGATACAGAATTCAAGCATAGTTAAAATTAGAGGGTTTTTTTTAATCAATATTTTATATACAGGCTCAACAAATAGTTCTTTGAGTACAGAAAAGCTGAATAGTTATGTAACATTCATCTTGGAGTAATCAGAATCACTGAAGCTAAAGAACCATCCATTTGTTTTCATCTCTCAACTGGGTCAGAATTCTTTGACCTGTAATTCCATGAGAGTTGTTAGATGTTTTCAGACAATTATCAAGTGCTTACTTTAGAAAATTATTGGTTCACTCAAAGTTAAAGTGATGTCTAGGAGTGGTGGAGTATGTCTTTAATCCCAGCACTGAGGAGGCAGATGGATCTCTATGGGCTCGAGGCCAGCTTGGCCAATGGAGTGAGATCCAGGCCAGCCAGGGAGATCTTGTCTCACAAAAAGGGGGGAGAAGGTTAAAGTAACGTTACAAAGATTTTGTTGGAGAGGAGGAATGGTTATTTTCTCCAATGTTTATTTAGAAGGCATGAAGCTATTTCTTATATAGGTATGCAAAAGAAATTCGACTCTATATCATCAGCAAAGACATGTTAAAAAGATCATTAAGCCTTACAACTTGCAAAGAAGTTACAGAAACAATAAGAGAATCTTCCTTCATTCAGCCATATTTAGTGAATTTCTATATAATAGTGTCATCTGAAAAGCGTTGCTTACATGAAGAATTAGTGTGTTTGCCTAAGTAGAAAATTTCACTTTGTATGTATTTAACGTGCTTCTGTAGATAGAATTTCAGAACCAGGGGATCGCAGTGGCTAGGTAACACCATGTAATCGAAAATTGTCCATGGTTAATAATTGTGCTTTGAATCCTGTTCAATACGTTATATAGGGATTCAAGAACAAAGACTCCAAAGATTTGTCTTGACTTATCTTGGAAGGAGACACTTCTCACAGAACTCATGAGGGTGGAGGCTAATACACCCCTGATCATATCCGCAGTTCCTTAATTGCTTGCACAGAGTGTCCTTTAGGTGGAGTTTCAGATTTAGCTGTCAAAATTTAAAATGCAGTCTGAGACTCTCTACAAGTAATTTAACAGAGGCTGAAACCCAATACCATTAGTAAATATTGAAGTTGGAGCTATAGATGGAAATACTGGCACAGAAAAATAGTAGCAGCCAATATTTCTCAATTATGGAAATAACAAAAAGTAAAATGTAGCAGCCTTTAGAAACGAAACATCATAAAATTGTCAAAATGCCTACCTCAGTATTAATTTCCACTCCACGGTTAATGTTCTTTATTGTTTAACAAATAATAATTCTACGTTTTTGTGCGCATCTGTCTGTGTGGTAGGGACGAGTTCACATGTGCAAACCATACATGCAGCGGTCAAGAGCACAGCTTGTGAGACTCAGCTCCTTCCTTCCAACAAGATCTAAATCAGGTCATCAGCCTAGGCGGCAGGACTAAAAATAAAGGAGAACAGTCTTTATTGTTGGTCCTGATAAACCTCCCTTGGGACACCTGGCACCAGTAGCCAGTGCAAGGTACTCATATTTTTAAATAGTCAAATGTGTGTGCACCCAGGGAAGTAACTGGTCCATGTGATTTTTTTCTTTGACTAAAACGAGTAGCCGGTGCTAGACAATCATATTTAAACATAATCAAATGTATATGTTCCCAAGGAAGTGATTGGTTCATGTGATATTTTGATGTATACATTGTTTCTCACTTATTAATTCATATATTTATTTTCATTGGAAGTTAAAAATTCTGCCACCTTAATACTACATTAGCAAATTTCCTAGATATTTTCCTACCTATATTACATATATAGGTAAGATAAAGTGGTGGTAAATGCATTTTGTTAAATGAATTGGTGCATAATTTAGTGTGCAAAGACAGTTTATATGAAACCCATGTGTCCTCAAATATTTAGCATTATGTTTGGAAGAGCAACAAATTATTCTTGACAGTATAGTTCGACAGTCCTGTTATCAGGTCCAGTTAGAAGATGGTCAGCCAACACACTCTAAAGGAACAATTGGCTTTGAAAAGTGATATTTATGTAATACAGTTATTGCATCAGATGCTTCTGGTAAAAGGAACCAAATCATGGCCTTTGCCATCATCAGCAACAAGTCCATGTTTGCACAACTGAGTGAGATTTATTCATAAAACTGAAACATGTGTGGGCTGAGAAAAATAGGTCAAAAGTTAAACTCACTCTCTCTCTTGCTCTCTCTCTCTCTCTCTCTTTCTCTCTCTTTCTCCCCCCAGTTCCAACTACTAAATACAAAAATTAAATATGTAGTTTTAGGATGTATTTTTAGATTATTAAATGAATATATAATACAGTTTGATTTATTTAAAATCTTTTATTCTCAACAAATTCAAACATATCATTGAGTTTACATAGAAATACAATTTCCAATCATGTCTTCATAAAAATTCACTGGTGAAGTACATGTTCATATTAATGACCAATTATGTACTACTTGATCATGCCATTAGCAGAACAGATCACCATTAAAAACTGATAAGTAACATATCTTAAATGTGCAAATATCATTTTAGTATTCTATCGTGTTACAATTGATATTAAATGTTTGCTAAATATATACCTAGTACATAAAGCTTTTTAAAGAACAATAAAAATACAAACTCTATCTGTTTAAAAAAAGCCATTTATATGGCTTCTAAATATCCTCATTATACAAATTCCAAAATACTATCTGACAAATAGAACAGCAAAAACTTCCTGATGAAATGCATACTACCCGCTAATTCAGGTTTGACTTATCAGGCTTAACAGAACATAAATAGAAAGGCTCATCTATACCGTAGAGCATGGTGGTACAAATATAGTATTGCATAAGCATATTTGATTTCTGTTCCTAATGAAAAGGTACCTTTAATACCTGCATAAAACTCCATGAGTAGAAATCTACTTATTTTTGATAAATTTCCTACAACCAAGCCCATATTTTCATTACTTTATTTTCTTATATTGTGACTAACCAAATTAGAAATTTGACCATATTTTTTTTCTGCACTATCACTGTTAGTATTTTACACCTTAGGCAAATATATTGGAAACATATGCTTTCAAAGGTCGGGGTTCATCAGCGTATCAGCATTAACACTACGGAATTTTATTGCTCATATTGGAGATGAAGCTGATGAGAAGGTTTTGTGAGAAACAGGTTCTGACTTTAACAGAGCAAAAATTAAATTCGTTAAATATTCTTAAAATTAAATAGAATACCTCTCAGAAAATTTAAAGTATCAAATTAATGTGGCATAGAGACATAAGGTCGGTAAGAGAAATACCACATCACAGGCAAAATAAAAATAGACAACAGGCAGGCATTGCATCTGTAGAAAGCAAAAACTTCATTTCTTAAAATATCAGAGCAAATGATGGCCCAATGTTATACTAATATGACAACACACTAGAAATAAAATTTTTACTTTTTTCAGGGAAGCACTTTTCCCACAATTGTTACTTTTGAGACAAAGTAAACATTTTTAGAATATAACGTAAATGACTGATGTTATTATATAATAATTATTAATAGTCTAAATATATTTGATATAATACTATTAGAACTTATATTCTTATTTTAAAATTTGGTAAACTTGCAGTATAATTGCTAAACTTTTTGATTTTCATAACGAGATGAACATTTTAGATACAAAATGACATCCATCTATTCACTAGTGGCCTGTTTATTGGCATCAAAATAGAACATGTATAGCTCAATACTGGTCTCCTGCTTCAGAAATTTGAAAAAATATCAAGGTAGGCTTGGGGACTAGGATAATGAACTAATGCCTTTGAGAATGAGCATAAATTTCAAGGTGATGATTATTAGAACACAGACAAGGCAGATACTCAGTAAACTTCTCTCTCAATTACAGATTCACCCATACCACAGAAGGGAACATAAAAATCCAATATACATTACACTAGTTATACTTAAAATAAAAGATAAATCAACAGTGAATGAGGAAGCTTTTACTTCAATAGATTTAAAAACATTTAGATATTCAAAAATATATTGGCACAGATATAATAACTGTCTTGAAATAATGAATGATATATATGTATATAAACAAACTAAGCGTAAGTCAGGATCATTCATTCTTGACGTCAGCACCTGCTGTCTAACGGGTCGAGACAAAATACCGTTCCTTCAAGAGTTAATCCCATTTTGAACCCCTCCTGTAAAGCAGAATAAAATGGTTAAAATTGTTAGTAGAAAGTAATGGCAAAAGAAAAATCATCTCACCAAGCAAAAGAGACTATGAACAGAAATTAACTTCCATTGTCTAAATAAATGCAAATTTTGGTTTATCAAATTCTTACACAGATGTAAAGAACTATGAGTTCTTTTATGTTTAGTGACATTTTTGCTGTCTTAAGTATATATACTGAATGTGTATGAGAAACAGAAGAAAATACCAATGTAAGACATGAAGTAGTTCTACGATTTATCCATTTCTTTTGTATCAGACATTTCCAATATTCCACTTGACTCTAAGTTCTTTACTAGTTTTTTAAAAAATTGTGTGTGTGTGTGTGTGTGTGTGTGTGTGTGTGCGCACGCGCGCACATATGTACCACAAAAGCAGAAGAGGGCACTGCATCTCTGGACCCAGAGTTGATAGCTGTGAGGACATTCCAGGTCCTCTGGAAGAGCAGTCCATGCTCTTCCCTGCTGAGCTGTTTGTCAAGCCCCTCTTCTGGGAAGGGCTCAAAGCTGCCTGACCCTATTGGCATTTTTCTATCTGGCTACCACAGTCCACATGCTGGGTAAAACACTTTTGTAAGGGCAGTGTTGTAATCCAAACAGAATGCAGTAGCACAGACCACCGCACCATCTGAAAGCTGCCCATCAGTTCTGCTTGGAAATTATTTTGAAATTATAACATAATTACATCATTTCTCCCTTCCCTTTTCTTCCTCCAATACCTCTCATATCTCCCTCCTTGCTCTCATTCAAATTCATGGCCTCTTTTTTATAATTGTTGATAGCTGTATCTCATATATGTGCAAATATATATGTATATTGACAGTATTGACAATACATATACATATGCTGACAATATATATTGACCACACACAGTATTGACTTTGACTCCTGATTTCCTTGCATGCTTTAAAAGGTTAGATGTCATTTAATTATTGAATGTTAAAAGAAAATGTGTTAAAGTTTTGTGTATTGAACTAAGGTATGGAGTTCAAAGTTAATGACAAAAGTGTTATGTCCTGCACATACTGTGTGGTCTGCCTGTCTGTCTGACATTCTTTCCTTTTTTTAATTTTTAGCTTGACTTGGTTTGGTTTTTCAAGACAAAGGTTTCTCTGTGTAGCTGTAGGTACTCACTTTGTAAACCAAGCTGGCCTCAAACTCAGAGATCTGCCTGTCTGTGCCTACCAAGTGTTAAGATTAAAAGCATGCACCACTATGCCTGGCTTCCTTTCTATTATTCAAAGAAACAGTTATAGTATAAGGTGTCTCTGCTCCTCCAGTCTTTCTCCAATATCATCTTGCCCCTAAATCTATGCACGCTAACTTACAAAGAGGAACATAGGTATGCGCTAATCAGTGGAAAGAGAGGTCAGATTGTCGGTTTCCTCGAGAGTCATCATGATAGTACCTGATTACTTTCATTTGCGATTATCATTGGAGATAGATTTATACTTGGGCAAAGTAAACATTACCATATGCAGGAAAAAAGAGCTTTCAAAATATAAACACATATGTAGTCGATGCCTGGAGATCCCCTCATTATGTGGACCGCACACACACTACATGGCAATGTCAGTACTGAAAAGGTTTTCAAAACTTCTTCTCACCATTTAGATGAAAACTATATTCAACAGGGTAGAAATCAGGGCAGCTATTAATAATTTTAAAAAGCCTGTATCATAATAAGAACTATTGGCTATATGTGTATGTGTATCTATCAATAAAAATTAAATGGTTTTAAAAGTGAGTACTGAAAATATTACTCGCTGGTCTTTTTCAAATGTTTGGTTGCTATCTGAAGACCTATACACTTGTCATCTTCTAGTACATTTTGAATAATGGATGATGGTAAGTTGATGATAGATGACATATAGATAGCAGATAAGTAGCTGATATGATATGATAAAGAGACAATTCGATGGCCCACAATACATTCAATGTTTATCAATTCATTATAAAAGTTCACTAGTTATGATTTCCTGTTCCTGAAAAGGGAAGTTATCAGAGCTATCAGTACTGGAAAACTAGAAAGTCAAAACAAAAAGAAGAAATGCACATCCACTCCCTCGTGAGAAAGTATTTTCTTGTGCACCACTTGCAGTACTGACAGACTAATCTAACCATCAGCTAATAGATCTTGTAGGCTCACGGCTTTCTTATTTCTTAACCCCATCCAAACCTCCCTGGACATTTTCAGACCACCCTACAACAGCTCCACTTTTGTTTCAAGGTGTACTGAATCTTGAATCTTCCTCGTAAATCTCTAAGCCTCTGATTAAAAATTAGGTTTATTTATTTGGCACAATTATTCCTAGCTACCATCACAAATAATCACTCTATAATTAAAACATCAGTCATATTTTCATATGAAACCTTTTGCTGAGCTGTATTTTCCTCTGTGAAACAGAGAGCAGTATTTAGTAGAAAGAGAACTCTGAGTAAGTGTTCAGACACTGAGGTAAGTGCTTCATATTCTGTTCTTACAGAGCGCTCAAGTTTCATGAGAGCAGAAACTTTCCTTCACAGAGTATGTTACCTATAATTTTCTATTCTGTTATCTTTAAGTAAACTGACTTCCTACATGCTAGTTCTCATAAAACTAATTATTCTGACTATGACACACTATTAGTCTTCATAGTTTCAATTCATTTCCATGACCTTACAATCATGAATAATGCCAAGCGCATAATTTCATGCATAAAATTCAACATATTTATAATTATTTGTCCATGTTTTAAATAACATAGAAAATATAAGTGTATACAGTAGTATCAAATTACTCCCCAAAGAGATGCTGTTATAAATTAACCTTGGTCTCATAAGCATTAGACTGCTTGTTTCTCAATATTTTCATTCAATACTGTTTATTTAAAAAAATTGAATTTCCTGTTAAAATGACACTTGCAGACTTTTAAAATTATAGCATGTTTGCTTTGATTACACAGAACACATTCACAAGTGGGTTAGCCAACTGTGATCTTTTTGTGAGTGAGGGTTTATTATTCATATGATGAGTGGCTAGTCTCCCAGTCATTCATCCGTTCCTGCAATTACATACATACATGTCAGTGCATGGGTATTTCACAGGTTTGCATGCACATGTATGATCATGCATATGAAATCTAGAGACCATTTGGGCATCATTTCCCAGGAATGCCACCAACCTCCTAGAGATATTTGCATGGAAGAACTGCTTATATTTCATTTATACATAGGGTCCCCAATTTTTAAACAGATGACTTGGTATTTGTATATAACTCTTTTATTTATAGACTTGCCATTGTTCTTAAACATATTACATTGCCATATGCATATGTGTATATGTATTCATGTGTGTGTTTGCATATTTATGAGTACACAGATGTATGTGTAACTGTGTGTGTTCATATACATGCATGTACATTTATACACAGCCAAAGATCAAGCTTAGGTATTGTTTTCCAGGAATGTCTTCCATGTCCTTTGAAACAGGGTCTTTCACTGGTTTTGAACCTCCTGGTTAGGCTATGATGGCCAATAATCCCCATGAAACCACCTGCCTTTGCCTCCCTAGTGATGAGATTACCCCGCCTCTTTATGGGTTCTGAGACTAAGATTCTCACATCTGCATGGCTAGCATTTTACCAACTGAATTTTCCCTTCAACTCTGTAATTCATGGAATATGTTTCTGGTTATTAACACTATCCTATTCCTTTGCCTAACAGAGATACATGTCATGAGGTCAGCACTCGGGAGGCAGAGGCAGGCGGATCTCTGTGAGTTCGAGACCAGCCTGGTCTACAGAGCTAGTTCCAGGACAGGCTCCAAAGCCACAGAGAAACCCTGTCTCGAAAAAAAAAATTATGTCAGATCAAACAACTACATAATTTATTTCAAATATATGTTAAATTGCCCAACTATCTAAAATGACATGTGGTTTAACATTTATGCGTTAAATCTAACATGCTCAAAATACCCCTAGAGTTTCAAAGTTTGTAATGTAACTCTTAGGAATAATTTAGTTTTAATCCTCTGTAAAAAAAGAAGAAAAAAAAAAAACCCCAAGCAGTTAGCTAGGAGGCTTATCACTAGCACCCTATAGCGTTCACAGCCTAACATACTATAATCAGCCTTTTATATAGCATGTAAAGATACAGCAGCTATATGTGTATATTAGATTAATTAGGATAGCTAAATTAATAACAAATTCATTGTAAAATCTAAATGAAAGAAAGATTTTACTAAGTATAGTTAAAGTGGCCTAGCAAGTAAGTCGTGAACTAACAGAAACATATAGTGAGGTGAACAATGAAATGTTGACGGTCACTGAAAAATTAACCGGAAGATCTAAGTTATAAAACCTCTATTAACACATCCATATTAAACTTGCTTGAATAGTTATTAAGCAAAATATGTAAATACAAAAATTTTAACTCTTAAAAAGATTGTTATTTCTTTAAATGATGAAAATGAGATACCAACCATCTCTGGCGCTACCCACCACGAAAGCAGGAGAGTAAAAAAGACATCAAGAAAACATTAGAAACATCAAAATGCAAAGCATCACATTCTAGATTAATATTACCTGATGACCACATTGCTAAGACACGCCTGTATTTTCTCAAACTGGGTTTCTACAAACGTCCGAGGGCTTATCTTTTAAAACCTACTGAGGTTGTAAATTTAGTACTAAGAACAAAAGGTCTGCAGGAAAGTCTTCATGATCTGAAACACCCTGAGAAGAGTCATTTCTGCCCGTTCACAGGCTCGTGTTCTGCAAGCATTGTCCCAGATAGCTCAACTAGCATAGATGGCAACAAAGGAAAGTCATTAATTCCAGAGAGGATGCAGCGTTATGTCTCATTAGCCAGCCACATTTAAGTGAAATTTTCAAAGTAATTGAGATATAAAGGTGAGAATTCACTGTCATCAGACACAATGCAACAACGCACGTTGAGATAAACAGAAGTTTCATAGCGATCTTTGTTTCACCCAAATGTTATATACATTTTATTTGATGAAGCTTCTTAATGTAAACTTTGTTGATGTTAAGATGTTTCCTAATTACATAAAAATTATATGACTCAGTCACTAATATTTTTTTCAGAGTTTTTTAAAAAGATATGATTTAGTAAATTTTAAGGCTCTGAAATATTTTTTTATGGAAAAGAGAATTATAAGTGATTGCATTTTGGAAATTTTAATATATTCTTTGCAAACATCAAGGCATGCTTTCAATAATTCAACCTTTTTAATGCAGGCATATAATTAAATCTAGAACAAAAAGATGTGTATAAAATAATTAGAAAAATAAGGCAGGCAGCATGCCATTTATCTAAATGGAAGGATGTTTATATTTATTGTCTCAGGGCAAGGCATGTGTTTGCCAGTTTTAGAGCTCAGCTAGACTCTGATTTGGGGGTGGGGAAGCACAAGGAGCCAGTGGGTACACCAGGACAACAAGCAGAAACAATTCTACCTCCTCACATTAGTGTCCCAGCCTTCTAATCTCAGTCAGCTCCAAGGAACTGGTGCTTGGATTCTATTAATTATGACATCTGTACAATAATTATTTCATCCAAATGTAAAGGGAAAATATCAAGAGAAGTCTTCATTCTGATATAAAGATGACTGTTTTTTTTTCTATCACCACCCAAGGTATGAAGCTTCAGAAACTAATTTCTTACAGCTTATAGAAAAATTTAGAAAGAGAAAAATAATCAATTTGACTCTATTTCTAAAGAAGTTGCCAATGGTGTTTGCCTTCTTAGTAGTCCAGGAGTCATGAGCAACCATTACAATGTTTCTTTTCTAAGATTTTCCTTCATTCAACCCCTTTGCAATTTAGAAATTTGAACCTATTAGGACTGAAACAAAATCTTACAATTTCATTTCAATGGCCTTTTAAGTTCTTGACTTAAAAAATTTATAATCCTGTAATTTTTGTATTAAAAAATAAGCATCTTCTTTCTTTGCATATTGAATCATTCATAAAAAGAAAGAAAGTCTCAACATGTGTAATAGCCTTTAGGAGTAAGTGTAATTATTTTTAGTCTAACTGCTTTAAATAAGCCTTTAAAGCAACAACAAGGGATAGAGTTTTGGTACCAACATTTTCTTTGCTCCGGATGAAAAAGAAATAAACAATATTTTGTCCAATCTGTTATAATAGTCACCTGCATCTCATCTAATTTGGACTGAATATCTGGAGGGAAGTCCCCTGCTCCACAGTTAAATGGGTCAAAAGGTTCAGCTCCAAAAAGGTCCCGTTCTATAAAGAAGAAAACACTTAATAAGTGAGATGATCAAACATTGGTTGAGACACAACAAACCCAGGACTATAATTTAAAAGCTTTGTGCTTCTCTGTATGATCCCACAGTAGTTAGGAAGTATGGAAGCCTAGCAGGACAATTTGATCTTTGAGGTGGGATTCCCCTCTTTCTGTTATGAATATGTTTTATTATCATTGGTTAATAAAGAAGCTGATTTGGCCTATGGCAGGGCAGAATATAGGACGGCAGAGAAACTAAACTGAATGCAGGGAGAAAGAAGGAGCAGTCAACCAGATGCCCTGTAGCTTCCAAAGGAGAAAAAAGCTAGAAACTTACTGGTAAGCCTCGTGGTGATACATAGATTGATTGAAAGAGATTAATTTAAGATGTGAGAGCTAGCTAGAATAAAACTTGAGGGAGGTGGGAACTGGGGTTGGTATATAAACTGAAAAATGACAGTTTTACTTTTTTTAAAAAAATAGTCATTAAAAATACATTGACTAATTGACATGTGCAATCTACTTTGCCAAGTTCCACACAGGAAACAAAAAGACTACATTGCTACCATGCACTGCACCATTCCTACCATGCACTGCACCATTCCTACCATGCACTGCACCATTCCTACCAGGCACTGCATCATTCCTACCATGCACTGCACCATTCCTACCAGGCACTGCATCATTCCTACCATGCACTGCATCATGCCTACCATGCACTGCACCATTCCTACCATGCACTGCACCATTCCTACCAGTCACTGCATCATGCCTACCAGTCACTGCATCATGCCTACCATGCACTGCATCATTCCTACCATGCACTGCACCATTCCTACCAGGCACTGCATCATTCCTACCATGTACTGCACCATTCCTACCATGCACTGCACCATTACTACCTTGCACTGCATCATGCCTACCAGGCACTGCATCATGCCTACCATGCACTGCACCATTCCTACCATGTACTACACCATTCCTACCATGCACTGCACCATTCCTACCATGCACTGCACCATTCCTACCAGGCACTGCATCATTCCTACCATGCACTGCACCATTCCTACCATGCACTGCATCATTCCTACCATGTACTGCCTCATTATTACCATGTACTGCCTCATTACTACCATGCACGGCATCATGCCTACCATGCAGTGCATCATACCTACCATGCACTGCATCATTCCTACTGTGCACTGCATCATTCCTACCATGCACTGCATCATTCCTACCGTGCACTGCATCATTCCTACCATGTCCTACTTCATTCCTACCAGGCACTGCATCATTCCTACCATGCACTGCATCATTTCTATCATGCACTATAGGCTTCTGCCAACTATAGGACTACATGTGAAAGGTCTTAGTGCATAACAATTAATAAATTGGACCTCCTAACATTGAGAAGCTTTTTTGAGGCAAAGGACACAGTCAATAAAACAAAACAGCAGCCTATAGAATGGGAAAAGATCTTCACCAACCCCACAGCGGACACAGGTCTGATCTCCAAAATATATAAAGAACTCAAGTAACTAGATATTAAAATTCCAAATAATCCAATTAAAAAAATGGGATTCCAATCTAAACAGAATTTTCAACAGAAGAATCTCAAATGGCCGAAAGACACTTAAGTAATTGTTCAACATTCTTAGCCATCAGAGAAATGCAAATCAAAATGACTCTGAGATTCCATCTTATACTCGTCAGAATGGCCAAAATCAAAACCACTGAGGATAGCTTATGCTGGAGAGAATAAGGAGAAACGGGAACACTTCTGTATTGCTAGTAGAAGTGCAAACTTGTCCAGCAACGTGGGAAATCAGTATGGCTGTTTCTCAGAAAACTGGGAATCAATCTATCTCAATAATCCAACAGTACCACTCTTAGGCATATACCCAAAGGATGCTCAATCATACCACAAGGTCATTTGCAGAACTATGGTCATATATGCATTATTCATAATAGCCAGAACCTGAAAACAACCTAGATGCCTCTCAACCAAAGAATGGGTAAAGAAAATGTAGTATATTTAAACAATGGAGTACTACTTAATCGCTAAAAAAAAAATGACTTCTTGAAAATTTGCAGGCAAATATATGGTACAAAAAAAAAAAAAAACCCTGAGTAAGGTAACCCAGACCACAAAGACAAATACACTGTGTACTCACTCATAAGTGAATGTTAGATATAAAGGATAACCAACCTATAGTACACAACCTCAGAGAAGCTGGGGAACAAGGAGAACCCTAAGAGAGATATACATGGATCCCTCAGGGAAGGAGAAATAGACAAAATATTTTGAGGAAATTAGGAATGGGGTGGGGAAAGGGGGAGGTAGAGGAGAAAAGGGGAGGGAGGAGTAGAAGAACAAGAGGGAACAGGATGGTTGAGATGGGGGAAGGACAGAGAGGGAGAGCAAGGAAGAGATTATCTTGATTGTGGGAGCCATTATGGGGCTAGTGTGAAACCTGACGCTGGAGAAATTCCCAAGAATCCACAAAGGTGACCCCAGCTAAGACTCTAAGCAAATAGTTGGAAGGCATCTGAACTGGCCATGCCTTATAATCAGATTTGTGACTGCCTTAAGTGTCATCATAGAACCTTCATCCAATAACTGATGGAGGCAGATGCAGAAACCCACAGCTAAGCCCTGGCCAAGTTTCTGGAGACCAGTCCAGGAGAGGGAGGAGCGATAATATGAGCAAAGTGGTCAAGACCATGATGGGGATATCCATAGAAACAGCTGACCAGAGCTAGTGGAAACTCTCTGACTCTGGATTGACAGCAGGCCAACCTGAATAGAACCAGACTATGCCCTCTGAATGTGGGTGACAGATGTGTGGTTGGGGTAGTCTTTGTGTCTATTGACAGTAGGACCAGGATTTATCCCTAGTGCTTGAACTGACTTTTTGGAGTCCATTCGCTTTTGGAGGGAGACCTTGCTCAGCCTAAATATAGAGGGGAGGGACTTGGTCCCACCTCAAATTGGTGTGTCAGATATTGTTACCTCCCCATGGGAAGTCTTACCCTCTCTGCAGAGTGGATGGAGGGTGGGATGGGGGGAAGGTGAGGGGGTGGGAGGAGCGGAAGGAGAGGGAGTAGGATAGGTAGGTAAAAAGAATAAAAAGCGTTTAAAAAAATAAATTTTAGCCGGGCAGTGGTGGCACACGCCTTTAATCCCAGCACTCGGGAGGCAGAGGCAGGCAGATCTCTGGAAGTTCGAGGCCAGCCTGGTGTACAAGAGCTAGTTCCAGGACAGGCTCCAAAACCACAGAGAAACCCTGTCTCGAAAAACCAAAAAAAAAAGAAAGGTCTTAGTGCATACATAATAAGGTGGAATATGACAGTGATTTTTTTTAATATACATGTGGTTTGAAGAGCTGATTCTTGGCTATTGGAATAACTCCTTCAGAGTCTGTGACAGGGCATAGATCAGATAAAACCAGGAAAATAAATGCCTACTGGATGCTTTCTGATGTACCAAAGAGAGACTTCAATGCTGTTTACAGATATGTAGAATATACATCAGAAAAAATGTTTTTGAATATTTAATATATCAAAGACAATCCCCTTAAATAACAGTATACACAGAAAAATCATAGGATATACACTCTTTACATATTCTCCCACTAAGGACACAGCAAGGCCTTGTAAGAATATCTAAACTACTCTAGTAAGCATATTACAAAGGAGTACATAATGACTCCTACTTATTTTGAACAGTTATATTAAACAAATATAACTGCACAGTTAAACTTTTTATGATTCAAGTAGACTTATATCAAAATCTTATTGTCCATATCAGGTTCAACTTGCAAATGGAGATGTATTTAGAATTTTTTTCAATTATAAAGTTAAATAGAATTATTCAAATTTGAAACCCATATAAAAGCATAATCCTTCAATAATTAAAGCTGTTGGCTCATTATGTTATTTTCACGAAATGTGAAAGAGGGAAAACACACCCAAATAGCAAGAATACGAGAATGAAGAGAGTGGGGGGAGGGGGAGAGGGGGAGGGGAGTAGGGGGGAGGGGACGATGTGTGGGAGGAGGGGGAGAGAAATGGGAAACGGGGAGGAGGCGGAATTTTTTTTTAACAACTAAAAAAAATAAACAAAACATAAACAAAAAAAAGAATACGAATATTTTTAAGAGAGCTTACGGATTTCAGCAGATCTGCTAGGTACTGGTGGGAGCTGTGTGCCATTGCGAGTAGGCGTGGGAGACTGGTGTGATATTGGGGAAAAGGGAACCATATCGAAGATGTCAGTGGAAGGAGATTTCACCGTGACACTGCCGGCCTGCAATGAAGATAGGAATCAGTGTGATCGCCCACGAATACTTAATACTGTACCGGGAATGTCACATATGTAAACCACACAAGCACAGTCCCGAGGGGAGTCAGATAACCTATGTGTAAATGAAACGTGGTTAACTACAGTTTCTTGTGGTTCAGACCAATACACCAAATGCTCACTTAGAAAACAACAAAAACTTGTTCTCAATGTAAATAGCAACACTAGTGTGGACACTGCTCAAGATTGATGGGCGAGGTGTGCTGGGCTTTTGTATACTTACAAACCCTTGTCAGCTCTGTCAGAAAATAGCAAATACCTTAGAAACTATTTGACTAGAAAGGAAAGTTTTGAAATTGACATTGCATGAGGTTTTGAACACAAACAGTTGACCATAAGAGACTTTCTTAATTGTAAATGTCAAAACTCAATTGACATTTTTGTATTCTGAAAGGTAGAACACATCAATTTGCAAGTACAGGAGCAAGTAATTGGTATTTATTGCAGTAATTTTTTCCTGAATAACTTCACATTTTCAACAACAACAAAAAAAACCCAGCAGCCTTGTAAACAAATTAACAACCAACAATGTAATACTCAAATTCTCAAATTATACAATACAGATCAGGACTAGGAAAATATACAAAACTGAATATTAACATCCTCTGAAAATGCACTCAAAAATAATGTAAAATGGGAGAATCACCCATGTGCCAAGCTAACTAAAATATAGTATAATCTTCTATGGAGACTGTATCTGATTAAAGTATGAATTCTTTAGAGAGGAATAGAAGTGTTTACTCTTCCTATTAGACTGAAGAAAGATTGCCAAGAGTGGCTCATGTTGACAGTATAGTTAAGAATAAAAATCACAGGACACTGGTTGCATGTTGAGAGAAATTGGTTAGTTGTTCGTCTAAAATGCGTGTTAATACATTTTTCTGCATAAAAATACCACTATTTGCCCTTCTTCATAATTTTCCATTATACTCCTCATCCCTTCTACATTTGGGAATGTTGCTCTCCTAATCCTCTTCTGTCTTCCCTCACATCCAATATCTCTCTTTAAGGCATAAAAATGTTAAATCTTACCTGACACTAGAAAGCAGTAATATTGCTTCTCTGTACTGATCCTATGCATATTCTCAGCTTCTAAACTCCGAGGGCTCTCTGCTTCAAACTCTGCTCAGCATAAACTTAAGAAAATAAAAATCCTATAAAGGCCCCAGGTCCCATCCCAGCAATTCAAGGCACACCTTCTTTTAGCACTTCATAACGACATGTTCTACAAGAACTCTTTTTAACTAGGGAATGGATAGCAAGTTTTCTGCTTAATAAGTCACACGAGGTCTTGGATTGCTGTTCTCACTGACTGGCCTGAACAGACAGTGGTATTAGTGTTTCCACCAACAATCTGGAACCAGACAAGTTGACAGAAGAGACAGAAATGGAAGACATGCTTAGACAGAGATGGATCATTGCTAGTGCTCCAGAAACAGGATGAGTGTCTCAGAAATGCATGTGGCACATGACCAGACACTCTGTGTGGCAGCCGAAGAGGAAGACAGAACGAGAAACATGCTAAGGAGGAGCAAGGAGGCTCGGAAAGAGTGAAGAGCATAAATGAAGATCGTTTGGGAAAGAGTTTTGTGGAAATTTCAAAACCCCGCTGAAGATGAATATCTGTATGAGTTCTCACTGTTCATTTTTAATTGAAATATTGTCATATATTCAGAGTTTTAAACAGAATATTGGAATCACCAGGACTTCAGTGGAAGACAGAGAAGAAACTGAGAAAGCCTGTGATGTGTTTTAGGGTCCAAGTGATGGGGCTGCTCACTAAGAGGAATAGTCATGATCATGGAAGACATTCTGGTGAATAATTAGTGACCAGAGAATTTTCTAGTGTTAGTATACATTTTAGTAATCTTCCAGACTTTGTAATTATGACTATCGCAATGTTTGCATTTTCACAGAAGTAATGCCCAATAGGTTGTAAGATATAAAACTCTGTAAGCTCAGGAGCAAAGCTAAAATCTAAAACAGTGACTCCAGCTCTCTGCCCACCCTGAAAGTAAGGAGTTCCCCATGGTAAGACATTCTGGAGATGGAAAGGAAGTTAACAAGGACCTCATAGAAATTGGAGGTCATATAGCAGGCAAGTAGCATAGTAAACAGGGTCTGAGTATCAAGACTTTGGGAGTCACTCTTCTGTCATGAACACTTCCTGTCAAGACCTGAGCTCTCTCCAGGTGTCAGATTCTATAGTCGCTAATTAACTCAACAATCTGACATCAAAGCTATAGTTGAGCCTTTATTCATTTACTATGATACTCTAGGCAAGAGGCTGGAAAGAGGGAGCCCTACTACATCAACACTCCATTGCATTTTCCCCCATAACAGCCACTGAAAGGGTAGAGGTAAGGCATGGCGTAGTAGGTGATTGCTGAGGGAACCTGGACAAAAGATTCACCAAGGTTAACCTTTTGGTTTTCCTTTTTTTTTTCTTTTTGTAAGAGACAAAGAAGTGCTGAATACAGAATCGGAGAGGGGAGAAGTGTGGCAAAGACCCTCGGCATGAAGAAATCTGGCAGCAATATTAAAGAGATGCCTTGAGCAAAGGTGTCAGAGAGGGCTTCTGTATCAAGACTTGAAATGCAGAGACCCATGAGCATATACCCAGCTGGGAAGGAGAGAGCGTGACTCAACTCAAAACTGCCCCAGCTCTGCGGTGGTGGCATGTGGCATGGTGGGTGGATAGCCCTTTTTTCGCCAGGGTCCAAATATTGACTCATTGTAAAATTCATCTTTACTGAACTTTGTCTTAATTTGTATTTTAAAAATTGAAATACAGTAAAACCACTTACTCTCTTCCCCTCCTCCCTCCAATTCCTCCCATATATATTCCATAGAGTTCCCTCCCTCCCTCCCAAACCCTTGGCCTTTTTTTCTTTAAGTGTTACTGTTACATATGTATATAAATGTATTAATACATAGGTACAACCTACTGATTTCATTTAGTGATATTTCTTTGTCTATGTTCTCAGGAACAAGGACTAGATAACTCATTAGGGGGTTCATCCATGGGGAAGACTAATTTCTCCCCTCTCGGCACTTGTTAACTACTTAAGGTACATTTTAGTAATCCTTAAAAATAACAAACCCTCTAATTTGAAACTTATACCACCAGGGAAGTACCATTTCAGGCCCCCAGATCTAAAGTGGGTTTATAATTTCTTAATTATGAGACCTATTATCTTATATTTCATTTAAAAATATTTAAGTTAAATGCTTGTGACTAACCTAGCCACAAACCCTGAAAAGAAACTTGAGACAAAAGCTCAGTGCTGTGCGCAGGTACTGCCCTGGGGAACTGGACAGAAAACACGCTTGCTTCCCATTCCATAGGCTTTGTCTCTGGATCATCTGGGTTCAGCCAATAATCCCAAAGCTGGGACGTAGTCATCATTTTCTGCGGGCACCAAATGTTCTTTACCGATGTTCGTGTTTACACTTCGTGCCTCTGTTTAGAGACTCTCGTTTGCGTTATTGCGTAATTGAGAGTTTTCATAATGGGTTCTTGCCTAGGTTGAGTTCAAGAGCATTTGAGAAAGCACATTGTTTAACCACAACGCAATACACAATTTTAAGTTGTAATTGTCTTATCGAGTCTAATGAATGGCTGCGCAGCAGATTATATAAAAGTAGAATTTTGTCTAACTCCGGTGAATTGAAAGGGAGACATTTGCTTTACCCAGCAATAGACAGTCCAGTATTCCTGGAAACTATAATTTTATTCATTTAACTTTTGGGAACAACTTGATTTGGTTGAAAGCTTCTGTACGTAGTAAAGGAAAATGCAAGCACTCAGACACAGAAATCAGGAGGAAAAGTTTGACGTAATTTGGTGTACCCACATTTTATGAGGGGACAATCTCCTGAAAGTGTTTTCATGAGGCCAGAAGGGCAGAATAAACCCCCCTTTCAAATATAAACATAAGTGACACTGCCGTGCAGATATAATGAACTTAATTCAGCTTGCTTCTAGACAATTGGTCCCAAATGGCAGCAAAACAGCCTCTCATTGATTGCCAAACCACGAGAACACAGAACAAAGCAAAGTGTGGAGTCAAGGAAGGGAACTTCTCAGTGTATCTAAATAATACTTTTGCCTGGGGACCAATTTCTAAAACCACTTGGAGAGTAGGGAAATAGGTTGGTCTGAGTATCCATGGAAGAGATGAGATGAGGGTACCTGGGAGGGGGTGGAAGGAGGGAGGGAAAAGGGAGAGAGATGTAATTCTATCTTTATTAAAAATGTACCGAAAATAAAGAACAAAAGAGGGTAACAAAAGCCTGTAATGATAGATTTGTCATCATTCATAGTTTTAGCATTACTATTACTTAACTTCATCTAAAGTTTAGAAATCTAGAATACTTTTGGACTGACACTTTCTTAGTAATGAAAACTTTTCTATGTTCTTTATCATACTCCCATCCTTTACTTACTGTCAAAATAACCATTGCATGCTCAAGAACACAGGTTCTCAAGCCATGGGACATGGTCCCTCTGGTGGTTGAACTACCCTTTAAACAGAGTCACATATCAGATATCATGTATATCAGATATTCACATTACATTTCATAACAGTATCAAAATTACAATCATGAAATAGCAGCAAAATAATTTTATGGTTAAGGTCATCACAACATGAGGAATTGTAGTAAAGGGTTGCAACACTGGGGAGGCTGAGAACCACTGCTTCAGATCTCAGTAAGACCCTTAAACCCATGAGTATTGCTTAAATGAAACTTTGTCTTCTTTAACCAAGCTCTTACTGTATCTTACTTAAACCACCCATGCTCAATTACAACTTCACCCTTGTCTTGATATTTTCACAGTTACCCAGCATTAGTGTAGGACAGTGTCTGCCTTGAGACAAATTGACATGCTCTGTTAGGGTGGGAGCAGTTCTGCGAATGTGTTCCAAATTCATTTGATCCTCCCAAACCTTCACCTTCAATGAAATGGCCTCGAATTTCTGTCCTTGCAGGAAGGAAACAGTGAATATTTTTTGGGTTTGCATCAAAAATAACGACAAACTTATTTTATCTTTTGAGGACCCAAAGACTGAACCAAAGCATGCCTGATAAGTTCTAGAAACAACCACTCAAGACTCACTGGAAAAGCACCCTCCCTCATACTCTGTGTTTTACAACAAAACTTAAAATAAGCATTTTAACATGGCTCAAAAGGGTGTGTGCTTCATTTTGCATATTTTTGGGTCAAAGCAGAAGACAAAGCCATTGTTCTGGATCTTGAAAAAAGAGAAGCAAGCCAAAATAAAACAACACAAAATCCTCGAGGGTTGGATAAAGCGAAGAATAAGAGTAAGAAGGATTGGGATAAGACCAATAAGCCCACTGAGTATATTGTCTGCACTTAGGAGTCTGCCAATTCTTTGTGTTCAGCTGGAGCAGCAGACTGTTTCCAATGCTGGGCAATGGTAGACCAACTCTCTCAGTACAGAGGATGGAAAAACAAGAGTTTAAAGTAAACTGAAAAAACGATCAATTTCCAGGTTATGCTAGTTTGAAGCCCTAAGCCCAGTTCTCATAGAAGCATCCTTCTTCATGGTGATGAACTGATAAGCTATTATGATATTATTCTATAAAATTATATATAAATTATATATAAATACTTTATATATAAATTGTCAAAATCTTTCCAACAGTTTACTGGTCTCAATTGTGTTCAACTCCACACACCCATGCTTTAAGGTAAACAGTGTGAATAAAATGCATTATAAAGATTATTAGTGGTACAGATTATTAAACAGGAAAATATTCAGTATTAACTACATCATTGCTAGAAAACAATATAGCTTTAAATTGTACCTCTCTCAAAAATAATCCCCTTGGCTGAAATCACTTAATAATGGTATCATCCCCAATAATGGTATTGGGGACAAGATTTAAAAATGGATCAGGTCAGACACAAATAATTTCATACCAGATGTTTGCATGATGTCTGAACCGAACCTGGACATTTCAGTGTCTGAAGCTACCACGTCTAGTACATGGTCTTGTTCTCAGTCTATTTCCTAAGGTGAAGCTCAGCACTGTGGGGCTAGCCTGCATGAAAATTGTGACTCACCCCAGGAAGCGATAACCAACAGGAAAGAAGGACAGGACTTGCCACAAAGGGAGAAAGTATATTCACTCTTAAGATCAAAGTAAGGTTGAAATAATTTTAGGTAACAAGGGGTAACAAAAAGAGTAACATGAAAAATAACCATGTTGTGAACTATCTACAAAATTTAAACGTGAAAAGGCACCCTGCTGAGCAGTCTTCATCTTAACCGGAGTTAGTTTTATTATTGATCACAGAATGATTTGAATCAAAGAAGGATTCAAGATTAGGAGGTGTTTGACATCGTACAATTACACTCTCAATGTACTTACTGGAGAGGATGACACTTGGCTTATTCTCAACCGGTTTTCTAAATCTTGGACTTTATTTTTAAGTTCCATATTTTCGGTTTCTAAATCTTGGATCTAAAAATCAAAAGATCATTGAATAATTTTCAGGATTATTTCTTTCTTGGAAAATATTGGCTGTATTATCTCAGTTACCTTAGCAAAGAACATTTTATTTATAAAATTCATTTATATTTTATATTTATAAAATTCAAAAGTCTTTGGTGCACAAGGAGCATTACTTGCCACAGTTCAGCAAATATCAGAAGATCCAAGGCCACTAGGATGATAATAAATTTAAAAAAATATTGTGTGTGAAAATTTTATGTTTCTAATATTTATTTCTGTGTTTATTTGTTGAGTGGTGTAGGTGATACCCATCTTGGGGTATAGAACCACAAGACAGAAAAGCTGCCTGTGAACATGGGAGGGTGGAGACGGGGCATAATTGAATTACGAAGGAATCCGAGCTGCATGGGAATCCACTTACCCAGCATCTGCTGCCTCTGCTGCTCTGATCCCCATGAGAAGCATCAGGAAGTGAAGCAAAGTCACATGAGAACACTAAGTTCTTGTGGGAATTCAATATAAAACAGTTAAAGACTGTGCAGAGGCCCCGGGATGAAGAGTTATAGGAATATGTTGCGAGCAGCGCCCACCGTGTTAGGGACAATAAATGGCAGGCCTTCTCGGTTTGTTTGAACATACACAAATTTCCCTGTACACACACCAGACAGATGTGAAGCAAGAAGTTTAGGTTACTCACTCTCTTCTGCATCCCAGCAATCTGCTTTCTTGTTTCCACATCTTTCCCTCCAGATTCTAGAAATTTCCTGTATGCCAGATCAAATGCTTGACCAATTGTTAATGTTATTTCTTCAGCCTTTGAAAAAAAAGCCATACAATGAAGATCTGCATATTAGCAACAATTAATCAAGGCATTATTTACCCTACCCCCAAACCAACCAACCAACAAAAAACATGGAGCTCTTCAGAGACATGAGTTGAAAGTATTCAGGGCTGGCATAAAGATCTGTGGTCCCTCAGCCTCAAGAGTAAAATCAAGTGAAGAGAAAGGAGGCCACCAAAGAGCAGCAATTGGAGTTAGAAAGCCCTGTGAGCTACTTTTACAAACTCCCCTCTGTTTAATTGAATAGTTTTCTGCAGCTGTTTTCTTGCTTCCTTAAATACCTAGTACCAGTTAAAGGCAAGCATCAAATTGAGTGGTTTCTCCTGCTGTCTTGTTACTGCTATCTTTTTCTAATGAGAAGGAGTTTTAAACTCTGGGCAGGTAGCATGAATGAAGTCACCAGGGGTAGGGACAGTCCCTGGACAATTCCAGGGAAGACCTCTCTAGACGGAGTAGCTAATTCCAGCTGGTTCATTGCTCCTCACATAACTGAGCAGTTTCAAACAGGGTCAGATCTTAAATACAGGCGATGAGGGCAGAGATGTGAAATTTTATATGAGAGCCTCTAATTTTCAGTGATGTTCACAATTCACATTTTTGTAAGATGGTGATAACAGAACAAAGTAGACCTGACATTGGCATTGGATCTGGTATATATTGTGTCAAGAAAAAAGATGATGATAACATAACTTATCAAAGGGCAGCTGTCATCTGAATTGGAACTGGTATATATTCTCTCAGAAAGAGACAGCTGCAGACACCCCAAGTCACTACCTCATTCCTTCTTCACCTGAGTCTCCAGAGTTTCATGACATTTGCATAAAGAACTCACGAAATATTTATTTACTTAATTAAGTAGGAGTTTAGAAGGCACTAACTGATTCAATGTACAGATAAATGTTATAATAAAAGCAATGTGCCTGTTTTTAATGATAGGACAAGGGTGGTAGCTTTAAGTACTGAAAATATTCCCCTGTAACAAATCAGCATTGTAATACTTTTTAGGTACTCTAAGCTACCTAAAACATTTTCTAAAAAGTTAGATATTTAATTGACATTGTCATGTCATTAAAGGAGATCTTTGCTATATAAAATAAAAATGAAAAATGTAGGCTGTTTCAAAAATTAAAACAGAATATGACTATAAGAAATCATTATAAATGTTCCCACTGTAGACATATTGGATAGAGAGGATTCCTCCAATATTAATGATGCATGTATGTCTTGACAATACCCCAGTTTTCTACAAAGAATCAGTAGAAATTATATAAATGTAAAATTTTAATAGCATAGTATGCTTTAACCTGGAAAAGGAACTGCAGTCCGTTGTATTGTAGAATAGGCCTTCTTCTGAATTTGAAACAGAAAATGTGGGGGTTTTGTTGTTTTGAAGTAGGGTAACACTGTGGTTCCCTGGCTGGTCTGTAATTCACTTTGCGGACAAGATTGGCTTTGAACTCCTAGAGATCTGACTACTTCTGCCTCCCAAGTGCTGGAACAAAAGGTGTGTGCAACCACTCACATTCTGTCTCTGTTTGGCTTTGCAGGTCTGTGGTCATCAATGACTCTATAGCACTTATTTATTTAAAGGAAGAGAAATGTTTGGCTTGAAATAGGCCATCACTTTTCTTGTGATTGTTTTTCTTGTGGCATATTTGTGCACTCTGAAGATGTATTGTTGTGACTGGTGTAGTAAAAACCTGAATGCCCAATGGCTAGGCATGGAGGATAGATGGGATTTTCAGAGAGAGAAAGGAAGAGGAAGAGGAAGAGGAATCTAGGCATGTGAATTATGCCAGTGATATGCCAATGGGGAAAGTTGGACATACAGAATGAAGAAAAAGATAAAAAGTCACATGGTAAAATGTAGATTAATAGAAATGAGTCAGTTTAAGTTATAAAAGCTAGTGGGACAAGCCTATGCTAAGTCTGAGCTTTCATAATTAATAAGTCTCCATGACATTATTTGGGAGCCTGCTAGCAGGACAGAAGGAGACTGGTTACATTTTTTAGATTTACCTTAAATTGCAAGAATTTCCATAGAGAGGTTTTGGTAACACTGTGTCCTGCTCTTCCTAATGGTACTATATCTCAAAGCTACAGCACAAATCACAGCTAGAATACAGATAATATGGCCAAAGCACAGAAAATTTCATAACCATCCTTCACGTTGCTGTAGAGACATTTCTTTCTCAATCTGTTCTCAGCTCTTCCTCATTACACCAGCAAACATCAATTAGTTTTGTGTCTATGATTTTGCCTGTGTGGGAGAACTAAAGATGTAGAATCATGGAACACTATGTCCAGGGACTGGCCCTTTCCCTTGTCTGCAGAATCGTCAGGATGCTTTATGCATTGACAGCTCACTTCTTTCCATTGCTAAATAGGGTTCTGAGGTTTAAATGTATAAAAGACTGACTATTCACCCACTTTTTAGGGTGATTGTAGTTTGGGACTGTTAGTAACTAGGAATTCATGCAAACAAACACATATGTGTGTCTTTTTGTAAACATTATCAGGTTTGTTTTCTGTGAATATTTTTAGCTTTGATTTCTGTGTGGTGAGTTTCTAAGCCGTTCATGCAAGAGTTGGATGTTGCTTCTTAACAGACTCACAAACTGTTTACCCTGAGTGGCTTTAGCATTTAGTGTTCCCAGCAGCTCCACATGAGTCATGCCTTTTCCACATCCTCAGCAGCATTGGGAGGCTTTGTTGTAATCTTTCGGGGAGCTGTGGGATAATGTCTCAGTTTGATTTTTCAACTGCATTTTCCTAACAAATGCTACCACGGATGTCTTTCCTGTGCATCTTTCTCATCTATATGACCTCGTCGTCAATGAAATGTGATGTTTTTGCCCACTCTCTAGCTTCATAGACTTTATACTGCAGGTCACTGAGGGTTTTTGACATGAGTCCTGTCTCCTCTGAGGTTTCCAAACAACTTTTCCTGGGCTTAGCTAGTTTTGTCATCTCTGTAAGAGTCTTTTGCCCAATAGCAACCTTCACATTAGCCTACAGAAGACAATGGATGAGCCAATACTCATCAGCTGCTCTCAGTCCATTGCTATGGTGGCTTTTTTCTTCCAGGCATCTGGCAGCTACATGGAGTGACTTTATTTAAGCAATTTAAATATCCATGAACATTTCACTTTGGGATTTTGAAGGGGGAGTCAAATCGGTTTTCCGCAGCAACTCTAAGATGTGGCGGAGCACTGTGTACACTACAGTGACTTCCAGAAAAACTGAAAACCTGAATTTGTCATTTCTATTGCTTCAATTTAAACTACCTGTATTTGACATTTATGTATTTAATTGTGGAAGTTACATTATGGGGAAAATATCAGCAAGTATATTGGAGAAGATAATTCCTTATTAAGTATTAAAATACCTTGAAAATTCTTAATCTTAAAACATTTATGGAAACAGTCTTCAGAAAGAAATCTTAGAGACTTAATCTAATTGAGCTTTAAATGGCAAGACTTAAGTCTGGGTTTCTATTGTACAAAGACCATGTGAGTTCAGTAGAAATATATTCTTAGATAGTTTATGACAGAAGCAAATGCTCCAAAAGTGGATGCAACGCGAAAACTTCTCTGGAAGGTAGAAAGTATACATTTTCGTCTTCTGTTCTTTCCTTGTTTTGTTTTAAACCATTGCTGTCCTTAGGCAGCAATATAAAATGTACCTGTTTAATGCTATACTTTCCTCACCTTTGGAGTGCTATTTTGTATGCTCCCCAAATGCCACTTTCAAGGCAAATGGCATGCTCTTGAATGGTTTTAGCATGCTAGACTATTCCCTGTCCTTTCAGCATGTGCATTCCTAGTATTTTCTTATAGCTTTGCTCCTCTCCTTCCGTGTTTGATAGCATTCATTCAAGATACACTAACAGAAAGACAATTCTGATGCCAAACCATATGGGCACTGTACATGCTGCCAAATCATCCTTGAGAGTCATTGCCACATCCACAATAACACTGATTAGCTGTACTGTTATCAGTCACGTTCCTGGGACAGTGGTGGTGATCAGTATTGTCATTGTCATTACTGTTTTACCATTGGGGTGGGCACTTAGTAATACATGCTGATATTTATTAAGAATTCTAATTAAGAAACATTTCAGAGGATCCCAAGGAAGCTGCTTTCTGTGTTCAAGGCATGGATGAAATAAAATTGAGCTTATTGTTTTGGTGAAAATGTAAAAAGACTGTTTTATCTTAAAATAGAAATGATTTTTAGGAATATCAGCTTTAATATTCTCAAACATACAAAGTCATCTGCAAACCACATGTTGAAAAAGCAGAGGAATATGCAACTATGGTTTATTTGTGAAATGGGATAAGTTTCAAAAATAGTGTGGTCTCCATATAAAGTTCCCTCTTGTCTGTAGAACATTGCCTTGCAGCGATAAGCATATTTTTCAGATGAGATATTCTGTAATGTTTACAAATCCCAACTAGATCTTAGGATGCCACATAAACACCCTATGAACTTGCTTTTTAAGAGCTATAAAACGTAAAAGATGTGGCTACTTGGGATAAATTTCAACAATGTATTTTCCATCAAGATATAAAATTACTGGGTATCTGTTATCCACCTGATACAAGGAATAGATACGAAATAAACAGGTATTTTTTTTCTCAAAAGGTCTGTAAAATCAAAAATATGAATCACCTAATTTGCTATTTTTGAGAACAAGGCAAAAATAGAGTCTAAATGAGTTTAGCTCTGTTTCCATTTTAATCCAATAGCGCTGTTGAGGTTGGATGGTTTTCCATTGACATATTCAATGGTTGCAATATGCGCTCAGAATTCACATCATAGGTTTCATGGCAGAACTCGGCCTTGGCTATGAAAATGAGCTCACATTCATGAGCAAGACACACGGTTTTCCTTCAGATGTTGGGTGATTCAGGAATTGTTGCATGACTCAGAATTTCCTAAGTGCCCTTACATGCGAAGAACTTCAGAATTCATTCATAGTAACACCCCCCCCTCCGACACACACACACGGGGAAGGGGGCTCCACATCACTACTTATGCTAAGTGTTCTGAATAATAAACATCAAGTCAACGTTCAAAGAACGGGGAACATTTTAAGAAGGCATACAGCATTTATTCCTCAGCTGAAGACATGTCTTCACTAAATTCCTCATATTCCAAGAAAACCTGGGCTCACTGTTCCTCTTTGCATCATGAAGACATATGTCAATAACTTTTAAATTAAAATTTAAAATAAACTAAATGACTTTGAGATAAATACAAAGAGATAAAAGTAGCCAAAGAAATTTGCATGTGAGCTTTTGCTAACAAACATGAGCATTTAGTTAGGATAAAATTGTGAAGCCTGTTCTCACGGCAGGATGAATCTATTAGTGGTGCATTAAGTGTTTGCAGGCCTTATTCTTTTCCAAATACTTTGTTAATGCCGGAAACAAGACAATCCCTGGCTTATAAAAGAGAACAAACCACCCTAAAACATCTGGCATACTTACACACTTTTCGCTGTCAAATACATAACACAAATGTTTATTTGACTCGGAATCTTTGCATATGAAAGTGAATATCCTCTTGTCGGTTTTATCATCGGCGCAGAATGATATTCTATGAAGCTGGCAGTTATGTTGGACTTCCTGTGAACAGGAACGGAAACAAATGAAGTTGACTGTATTTTCTTCCACTTTTTGAAACGTCGGCAGCATTAATAAGACACCTCACAGTTCTAAACGTGCAGCGATAACCTGTCAAGTATTGGTCTTGGAATTGCACACGCCTGATTTTACACAAATCCGAACATAACGGAGGCGGAACGCCTGACTCATGGTTGGAACAAGACATTCGCTGCAACAGTGCACACACCAGTGCATGCTGGAGAAAGGAGGATTGATCAGTGGCTCGCAGCATTTCTGGGCCACTTTGTAGGATTCTGCGATCCTACAAAGGATCTTTAAAAACCATATTCTTCACACCTTGAACATTTACATAGGAGTATACTTAGCCCCAAAATATTAAAACATTTCAAAAGGTTTATAGAAAAAGAACAAATTATGCCAAATTCTTTGCACTTTGTGCTACTGGTAATAATTAGCACTATAGAGTTAAGTATGAAACACTCTCTTGACGGTTTCCATCAGACCTTTTCTTTATTCTTTGTTTTCATTCTATATTCTTTATTTTCTTGGTGATTTCCATCTCTCATTTGTGATGTTTTTTTTCTAACTTCTTCATTGTTGATTTTTTTTCCTTCTAACTCATTTTAACTATATTCTTTCCCTTACAGTTTACATGCCTCAACAAAATATTTCAGGCAATATAAAAATTATACTGCAGTTACAGTATATATTCTGTGTTTCAGTGAATGATTACAATGAACACAAGTAAAAAACAGAACGGTCTCCATGTTCTTTACAAGATTAAACATTTTATGTAATACATGTAAAAAAAACCAATTTATCCCAAGAACCTAAATACATTCATACCCAAGCAACTTGTTATAGATTAGCCATGTAGGTAATCAAGATACTCTTCTCAGTCAGGTCTTTTAATGGCAGGTTGTATTTTTCAGTTACAAAGAAAGGACCAATTACTTTATTCCTTATCTTTAGAGGTAATTTTATAGGAATCTTAAAGGAATAACAAACCTAAACTTTTATACATGAAAAAGAATTAGTCAGCCATGCTTTGAGTCTTTAGTGTGCATACCAACTCATCAGGTTCTTATGTCAGGAGATAGAGGTCAGAAATAAGTATACGGAATTAATAATCATCCTTGGTCATCAATCAGTCCTAGCAAGAAAAGTACATCAATGATTAATAGTTGGACTGCTTTGTATTTTGACCTCAGTTTTGTGTCCTCGCAAACTTTAGATTGTTTTCTGGGGTTTTTCATCTCAAAGCTATTATTGAAACATCTGCTCTATCCTGAAGGTATTTTAGAGCTTTGTTCCAGCTGATGATGCACACCGAAAGCTGTGACTGTATCTTTCAGCATTAAGATTAAAGGAATTCGAGCTGGCTTTGCTCCTGGGACTCAATTGTTTCTCTTAGTCGTTAACCTAAGCCACAGTCTATATGGCTCCTCAAGAGAAACCCATGTGTGTGACACTTCCTTGTTTTATTTTTTATCACCAAAACTCTATTTAAACTAACATTATTATCATCAATTAGATAGGACAGCTTAGGAAGGGGTCATCTTCATAATAATCCACAGATAAAAACACCCAGTAGAACGAAATGTTTCCATGAGAAAAACACACTACATTATAGACAGTGGTGATCTCACCACACCCTACCAGATACCAGAGAAAGATTGCAGCAGTAAACAAGTGAAGGCACAGCAGAAGAAAATCACATTCCATTCCGGGGTCTGTGCTCTCAGTGTCTTGCCTATCTGACATTCATCCATCAGGGAAGTACCTCCTGGCGGGCTGACTCCTTGGATGTCAATTGCCACCTGCTGCTCCTTTGACAGGGTCACAGTGGCACTTGCCCTTAATCTTTAGACCAGCAACAAGTTGTGTAAGTTTCAGACTTTTTCCTATATTTTGCCTGATAGCGCAATGATTTTTTTCACATTGACACATATTTTTTGCTTTTATATAGTCAATCAAATAACAACCCTGAGCTATACTGCAGTCTCTAAATTCTAATAGCTAGGATATATCATTAATAACTATATGACAATGTTTGTGATACATTTCCATCTCATCATTATATGGTTTAGAAAAAAGACCTAATGACTTTTTATTAGTATAAATTTTATACTAATTTTATAAATTTTATAATTTATAAAAATATAAATTATATTTATACAGTTCAGAAAAGAATGTTTTATTTTTTTCTTCTTATTTATAGGATAAACACAACATTTCTATAACTAGTGGTGGAATGTGTCATTTTTCATCCACTCAGCAACCAGTATGGAAACAGAAGACATTTGGTTGTAATCATTCCCACATTATCATAATATTTGTTGATATTGGTGTGATGGTTTATGGGAACTATTACCATGAGATAATCCCAGAATCACAGGAAGAAACGGGCCTTTGGTCATATCAGTAGGATATCATATTGATTACATTGTGGAAAGAGCCATGTTAGTGATGGATGAGACCACCCCTGGACAGAATATCCTAGAATGCATAAAGCAGAGAAGCTATAAACATGTCTTCATAGTTGTTTTCTGTTTGCGGATATAATATCACAGGATGCTTCAATTAAGGTTGCCTTGCCTTCCCCTCGATGCTCTAGTATTTTACCATATTAAAAATAAAATAAAGTAAGGCAGTTATCAAAGTCATCTTCCTAAGAAGACTAGAACTGAGGAAGACTATCACTCCATTCTCTTGGGATGACTTTTCTAGTTTGTTTTGCTTTGCTTTTTGTTTTAGGTACTAGGGATTGAACTCAGAGCTTCTTGTAGTTAGGCATAACTTGTTTTCTGTATCGAGTTAGACAGTCCATCTTGTGATAAAATTCATGGATATTAAATCCAGAACTAATTTTGTGAGATGTGCTAAAGAGATTTGGGAATACCACCAACAAAACACACAGCGAGGAAACACATATACTTATAATCAACATCTTTGATTACAGCTGGAATTTTCAGATCAATTTCTCTGAGTACTCTGTTTCCAGAACCACATACTACACGTAGAGAACAGCTAAGGGGAGTAGAAATGAGAAAAGCATAGGCGCTAACTGCTACAGAGATTGCATTTATTTCTATTTTTACCCATCCAAGTGGGAAAAACATAGTATCTGTAAAATAAAGACTATTTCTTGACTAATAGTGTATTTTAAAAATCCCATCTTTATTTATAGATAGATACAAACCATTCTTCTGCCCGAAGAGCTCATTCCCAATGTGATAAACTATAACTGTATCAGAAATGCCTAATGAAATATACAGAAGCTCATTAGTTTGAGACTGTCTGCCTATTTCATTTCTTGCCTAACAAATTTGCAAGCCAAGAGTATGTTAGCAGCCTAACTTTACGTATAACAGAGCAACTTCAGCCAATTACATACAGCTGGGTTTTAACCAACCACTGGCAGCCAGCTCATGATACCATATCTAAATAAAGCAGACATCTAGCTGCCGCCAATTAGAAAATCTCCTTACCATATTCTTATTTGGCCTTTAACGCTTATTGCTCATGCTCGTGAACTATTCTGAGTATTGCCTGACTTATGACATATTATATTGCAGTGGCAAGAATTAAGTGGGGGCGGAGGTTGGGAGCTGGAAGAAACAAAGGGGTTGGGAGAGAAGATCAACTAAAACTAGCAATATAGGGAAAAAAACCAAAGGAAGAAGGATAACTGGTAAGATAGGCTAGAATTATAAAATGTAGAAACAATGAGTTTAATTAGAAGGACACTGAATAGGTAGATAAAATTTCTCCTAAGAAACAAGTCGTTAAATGAAAATCCCTGTGTCGGGTAGGCTAGCTCCTATGAGTGGTTGATTCAGGATTCCCCTGAGAACCCCAAATAAAGAGGTGATCACCACTGTTGTTGGATGTCTAACAGAACTAGATGGATAGACCTTATTGCTGAAAATGTCGTAGTGTCAGCCATAGGACATGGAAAAATCAAGTTGAGCTTTCTTCTTTTTTTTTTCCAACTTGAAACGTTAATTTATTGCAGTTATGTTTGGAACCTATATTGATCACTGCAAAATCATTTGGAATATTTTTTTAATTAATTGATTTATTAAAGATTTCTGCCTCCTCCCCGCCACCGCCTCCCATTTCCCTTCCCCTCCCCCAATCAAGTCCCCCTCCCTCATCAGCCCAAAGAGCAGTGAGGGTTCCCTGCCCTGTGGGAAGTCCAAGGACCTCCCACCTCCTTCCAGGTCTAGTAAGGTGAGCATCTAAACTGCCTAGGCTCCCACAAAGCCAGTATGTGCAGTAGGATCAAAACCCAGTGCCATTGTTCTTGACTTCTCAGCAGTCCTCATTGTCCGCTATGTTCAGCGAGTCCGGTTTTATCCCAGGCTTATTCAGACACAGTCCATCTGGCCTTGGTGAGTTCCCTAGAGATCATCCCCATTGTCTCAGTATGTGGGTGCACCCCTCGCGGTCCTGAGTTCCTTGCTCGTGCTCTCTCTCTCCTTCTGCTCCTGATTTGGACCTTGGGATTTCGGGGGGAGAGGGGAATTCGGGATCAACCTACCCCTGGACCCAGCAATATCACTCTTGGGAATATACCCAAGAGATGCCCTATCATACAACAAAAGTATATGCTCAAATATGTTCATAGCAGCATTGTTTGTAATAGCCAGAACCTAGAAACAACCTAGAGGCCCTTCAATGGAAGAATGGATGAAGAAAGTATGGAATACATACATATTAGAGTACTACTCAGCAGTAAAAAACAATGACTTCCTGAATTTTGCATGCAAATGGACGGAAATAGAAAACACTATCCTGAGTGAGGAAAGCCAGACCCAAAAAGAGGAACATAGGATGTACTTACTCATAATTGGCTTCTAGCCATTAATAAAGGACATTGAGCCTATAATTCGTGATCCTAGAGAAGCTAAATAAGAAGGTGAACCCAAAGAAAAACATATCGTCATCCTCCTGGATATTAACCTTCATCAGGTTATGAAAGGAGACAGAGATCTTCTTATTGGTTTGCCCTCACAGTGTCAGGAGGTGCTGTGCAGGCTGCTAAGGAAGAATTGCTATCCAGTCTTCCACAATTCAATCTTTGCAGGCTATACTATCCACTGGACTGGCAGATGAGCTCATTGGTATAATTGTAGAAAATCTATATTAGTGAGACAACCAATTACTTTCTAATTGAATTTGAAGTCTGCACCAAAGGAGAGAATTCCTGTCTGGCATTGTAGTCCTACAGTCAAAGCCTTTAGCCACAGAAGTCCTATAAATCCTAGTAAGGAAATCATGGCTGCTGTTTACTAAATGGACATAATGTGTCAACAAATCACCTCCTAAATAACTAAATTTATGCCCACAGATTAATGGCATCCATTTGGACCATGAAAGTTTTCTTTGCACTGCAGTGGTAACTTCAGGGACTTGTGGTTGCTGAGATGATGAGAATAAGTAATTGCTGAGTACTCCTCTATAAGTTACACATCTATATTACTTCCTTCAGGGCTCAGGGGGCCTCACAGAAGATGAAAGGATGCCAGAGCCATAAGGAAGGGATGGGGAAATGTGGAATTACCGGCTTCTGGGGTATGGCGTGCTTGTTGAATTCAGAACTCAATGCAGCTGTAATTACCTACACAAGACCAGCACAAGCTTGGTACTAACAGAAATCGTGTGAGTGGTGGCAAAAAGCACACAATTCCAATCACTTCAACAGGCTCTAGAGAGAGTCTACGGTGAAGGTAGAGAACTTTCCCTCAGGCGAATAGCATATAATACAGTGAGAAGCCCCTTGCCATGTTCCTGTAAGCATGAGTAAAACTCATTGGGGAAAAAAAGGAAGATGGAAGTAGTAGGGGCACTGATTGGCGCAAAGAAAGGGAACTGTTGGGAGTAGGAAGCAATCAAGAAAAGGTGATTGCAATAACCAGGATTAAAATATATTGTATACATGTTTGATTAAGTTATTATGAAATTCATTATTATGTTTAATTAATATATGTTGATACAAATATGAAACTTTGTCTTAAAATTAAAAATTGGAAATAAGGCATTTATATGGGTAATACAACTCATATAAAAGCATTGTATGATCCTTAATTCAATCTGGTGTCCTTTTTAAAAACAAAACAAAGCAAACAAACAAATAAGTAAAACCCAGACATACAAAGAATCTCAAGTATGTGCACATATGAAGATACAGCTGTGCCAGAGGAGAAACTGAGTGTGTGGACACATGAATATTAAGATTCTACGTTCACAACTACAAAGGAAACAAATTGCCATTGCTCAATTTATCCAGACGTTGGCATTTTGTTATAGCAATCCTAGAAAACTAATACACATCAATTGAATCCACAGGAAAGGACATTTTAACAAGGCACAGCTTTCGTCTTCTTTCATACCCAGCAAACCATACCCTATGCATCTTGCACATAGAGGGATAGAAATCACTAAATACAGGCACTACCAGTACTGAATCTACTTTATATAAGTTACTATATGTGGGGCATAGGCTGCAGGTAGACAATACCAAAATTCCAAAAGTTCTTCCCTTTCTCCAAATTGCTACACATGTTTAAATAAATCGCCAAGCACCAAACATTTAAAGTTGGTAATAAATGTTAAATATCCATGAAAATAGATGTAATTGTCACTGATTGAAGAATAGGTCCACATAACTCTCAAAAAAACAAGGCTTACCTTTGTTTTGGGTTCAAGAATTTTTACTCCGTAAATTGATATTTGCAATTCAACTTTAGGAATCTTCTGGCCTTCTGATTTCTTGATGTGTCTTGCAAACTATAAATAACAAAAACATTCACAAAATTGTGATTCCATGACTGTGGAATATGAACATAAATGGACATTTGGAGTTTGTGTCTGTAACCAACATTCATGAATTCAGGGACTACCCATTACAAAGCATTTTGTAGAAACAGTTTTGCTCAGTAACCCTCTCTGTCTGTAACCGTAATTCAGATTCATTCGCAGTGACTTGTATTTTCTGTTTCCTTTGGTTTTTGTTTGTTTGTTTGGCTTTTCTTTTTGAGACAGGCTCTTTTTCTGTTTTCCATGTCAGCCTTGAAATCATTATGTAAATTCAGCCTGCGATCAAATTTATAACAATCCACTGCCTTAGCCTCTCAAGTGTTGTGATTTCAGGTATGAGACACTATGCCTAGCTGATTGTAATCATTAAACACCAACAAAAACACCCTTCTAAAAAATGCCAAAACCTTGACTTTCATACATTTTCCATGCCATTTAAAGGGCTGAATGTGTACCAACCAGCAAAGAAACCATATGGGATAGTAAGTACTGATGTCCTCATTTTGAGATCATTTTATTTTAATGTGTTCTCAGAATTTGCTGTTCACCTGCTGTTGAGTGACAGCTACCTAGTTGGGTACATGACCTATCAGTCAAATCAACAAAGATGATACCAACTGATATATCTAAACCAAAGCTGAGAGCTCCAGTCATTTTACCATGAATGACTCCTTTGTGGGGACAGAGGTGGTCTAGAATCACAAACACAGCCAGCATCTTGTAGGCACAATGGTTTCTACTTATTTTCATAGCTATAGTATCATGTCTTTCTACTCATTTAAATCATATGTTCAGGTCTTTGTAAAATACAAAGAATATCATTCTACTCTCACGCAGAGGAAGTTTCTGCCTGTCTCTCCCCAGCTTCTCCAGATTTAGTGGAAGAAAAATTATGAATACAACTGAATTTTAGTATTAAACAATAGACATGTTTACAAACTTAATATTAGAATACATACAAATATTTACCTAAGCACATATATATATATACAACATATATGTGCTGTTAGAATAAGTATGTCCTGGGCAGTATTTTGTAATCCTTTTTAGTTTAATTGCTATTTACTTGAATCCACGGTTCACCGGATGTCCCAATTTCTGTTCAACTTCCTATTTTCTTTGGTTTACTGGGTGTTTTACTTTCTGGTGGCAACCCCTCTGACCCCCTATTTTCTTTCTTAGTTCCTTCCCTTTATATGACTTTAAAAAAGAAGGAAAGAAAGGAGACTTTTAAAGTAGTAGGATTGCATACCCCACTGCTAGGGCTTCTACAACTCATTTTCAGCATATGGAAAGTCCTTTGAACTTGATTCTGAAGGATCAGATGTGAGGTCGGGCAGAGCTCCAGGGCTCTTGTGTGTCCTATTTATTTGCATTGCGCAATCCATTCTAATCTAGGGCAGATGTGAGCATGCATGGTAGTTGTTCCCGGGGCAGAGTGCTCAAAGCCTTCTTATTTATGTCTTTGCACTGCCACAGAGAGGAGCTCAATTAATGCTTACAGGAGTGCCTTTAAGTATCTGCCTTCGAATCCCAGCCGCTGTTACTTGTTTTGTACCCACTTTGGGTGGCATACTTTTCCAGTCTGCTTTTTTTCCTGTGTTCCTTTGACATAAGCTGCTTCATTATTATTGTTCTTTTGCCTGTAGAAGTCTTACAGTGTGCACATGACACCCAATGTATGCCAAATACTTCTCGGTCTTTAAGAAACATGTTTTGCTTCCATGTAGTGTTATTCAGCTCTCCCTCAAAGCGTGCATATTAGCTGTCTTTCCCAATTGTAGTATACTTTTGACTCAGTATAATTAAGGTTTCCGTGCATGAAACACTAAAAGTACAGGAGGGTCTGTGTTCTGTACTTATGGAAGGATACCTGAGATAAGCCACCTTGTACTGCTTGCAGGGCCTCACAGTCACTTCCAAGGGCTTTTTCGCCATCTGAAAACAGCAATTCCTGTGACCTCAGACATGAATCCCATAACCTTGTGTTTTATGAAAATATTGTTACAAAAAGCCAGTAATTTAAAACTTGTCTGTTTAGAAAGGGACAAATGAATGGAAGTAATGAAGAAAGGAAAGAGAGTGTTGATATCACACATGTACACACATACACACACACACACACACACACACACACACACACACACACACACGGAGGAGGGCCGGAGAAAGCAGGAAAGGGATGATGAGACCTAAACAGCTGGTATAAGCCCCTCTGGTATCACTCCCCTACCTCATGTCAAGACCAAGTTAACAGTACTAAAAAAGCCTTGAGTTATCAATCCTCCACCAACCCAAACTGTATTCCCTAACATCCTTACACACCGCAATCATGAAATGGGCTGGGAACAAGCATCATGGAGGATGCACTTGCTCCCTTGCACCCAGACATCTTCCTTTACCATCACACTCCCCATTCGTGTTTCATGTAAATATCAACATTCCCATCAGTTTTGTGACGTGATTGCTGAAAATATATCTGCAAAAGTCTTGCATCTAGAATTAGACTCACTCTAAGCTTAAATAATTTGATAATCATGGTCTCTCTGCTTTTTTTCCCTAAATTTCAAGCTCACTGCTCACAAAACTTTTCTCCCATCTTAAGTCTCCTTGATTTTCTTACTTGTGGACTTCTTAACTGTCTTCCAAAATTCTTCTAATTCTAGAGTGATGAGAGACAATGCATGACATATACTCTCTTATCCTTGGCTATATTCCTTTTCTTATTTATTATTTTAATGTAAATCCTTGAAGAGCCTTGTTTGCAAATGTCTTTCAATTTTTTCTCTGAATTCCTTCCTGTGTAGACCTACATAGATCTATCCTTGTAAATTGAACATAATAATCCAATCCAACAAAAAGCTTCAAAGGACATAAAACATAAGCATTTTAAACACCAGTACAATACAGGATCAAGACACAGTCTTTGCTTCCATAAAATGATGAAAAAAATTGAAATTATAAAGTAAGTTAAACATGTGTTAGTGCTATTTAGAGCTTGTCATGAAAGTTTATAGAACATTGAGTTTTGACGCCCACATTACATGATTTCCATACATCTCTCAAAGGACATTTTAAAAAGTGAAATCTAATTCTATTACTAAAACTAATAGGATACATGCTAGTGGGCAGGAAAATTAATTTATTTCTTAGACCCTATTATTTGGCAATTCTATGCCGCTTTGTGAATGTGTATTTTTCCTTTATTGAAAATAGATTCTCCCATGAAAGTACTAACCAGGCCCAATCCGGACTGCTCTTCAGACTGGAGAGAAAGGGGGAATGGAGTGGGGGGAGGGGGAGAGGAGTGGGGGAAGTGAGAGAGGAGTGGGAGGAGGCAGAAATTTTTTCAATAAAAAAATAAAAAAAAAGAAAATAGATTCTCATACAATATATTCCTAATTATAGTTCTACTTCCTCTACTTTTCCCAGTTCCTTCCCACCTCTCTGCCACTCCAAATTCACTCCCTCTCTCTCAGTCTCTAGTTAGAAACAAACAGGTTAGTCAGAGATAATAACTAAATATGACATAAAAAAAAGATAATACAAACAAGTAAGAGCTGTCATATTGAAGTTGGGCACAGTCATCCAGTAGGAGGAATAGAGTCTTAAGAGCAGGCACAAGAATCCAAGACCAACTAGGTCTCACTGCAAGGAATCCCATAAAAATACTAAGCTAATAGTTATAATATATACACAGAGGATCTGATGCAGACCCATGTATACCCTGTGCATGCTACTTCAGTCTCTCTGAACTCATGTATCCCTTGTTTAGGTGATTCAGAGGGTCTTGTTCTCCTGGTGTCCTCCATCCCCTCCTGTTGTTACAATCTTTCCATGTCCTCTTCAATGGGATGCCCTGAAATCTGAGGGGAGGGATTTGATGGACAATTCCAGGTGACTCTTCCCACACTTTCTCCTTCCACCCAATCTTATCCCAACCTGATCCCCAACTCCTGTCCCCACCTACCCCCAGGTTGATCATCAAATCTATTCTATTTCCTCCTCCCAAGGAGATCCCTGCATCCTTCAGACCCTTCCTCTTTACCTAACCTCTCTGGACCTATGGATTGTAGCTTGGTTATAATTTGTTTTATGGCTAATATCCATTCATAAGAGAATAAGTACCATATCTGTCTTTCTGGGTCTGGGTTACCTACTTAGGATGATTTCTCTACTAGTTCTATCCATTTTCATATGAATTTCATTGACTCATTTTTAAACACAGGTAAGTAATACTTCATTGTCTAAATGTGCCACATTTCTTGAGTTGAGGAACGTCTATGTTGTTTCTAGCTTCTGACTACCATGACTATGCTACAATGAACATTGCTGAGCAAAGGTCACTATGGTAGGATACATCATTTTTTTACTATATGCCTAAGAGTGGATCTTGAGGTAGATCCACTCCCAACTTTTTAAGTATTTGATTGCCATAGCGGCTGTACAAGTGTGCAATCTCATCAGCAATGGAGTGTTCCCTTTATTCCATATCCTCCTGAGCATGAGTTTTACTTCTATTATTGATCTTATCAGGCGTAAGATAGAATCTCAAAGTAATTTTGATTTGCATTTCTCTAATGGATAAGAATATTGGACCTTTCTTTAAATGTTTCTCAGCCATCTGAAATTCCTCTACTGAGAATTCTCTGTTTAGATCTGTATCATGTTTTTCAATTGGGTTATTTGGCTTTTTGATCTCTCTATTGGATGTGTAGTTGGTAAAAAATACTTTCCCACTCTGCAGGCTACCAGTTAGCCTGATTGACAGTGCCTCTTGTCTTACAGAAGCTTTTCAGCTTCATGAGGTCCCATTTAATAATTGCTGATCTTAGTGCCTATACTATCAGTATTCTGTTCAGAAAGTCATCTATGTGGCAAAAGTGTTCTGGCTATTCTCCACTTTCTCTTCTTTCAGGTTCCGTGTATATGATTTTATTTTGAGGTCTTTGATCCACTTGAAGTTGTGCAGAGTGATAAATATAGATTTGCATTCTCTACATGCAGACATCCAGTTTGACCAGCACCATTTGTTGAAGATGCTGTCTTTTTCGGTGTGTATTTCTGGCTTTTTTAAAAAATCCAAATTCAAATGTCCATAGGCATGAGGATTTATTTCTAGGTCTTCAATTTGATTCCATTAATCAATGTATCTGTTTTTATGCCAATACCATGCACTTTAAACATTAATATAGCTCTGTAATATAGCTTGAAATCTGGGATGGTGATACCTCCAGAAATTCTTTGATTTTACAGCATTGTTTTAACTATCCTATTTTTGTTTTGTTTTGTTTTTGTTTTTAAATGAAGTTTAGTATTGTTCTTTCAAAGTCTGTAAAGAATTGTGTTGGAATTTTGATAGGGATTGCACTGAATCTGTAGATTGGTTTTGGTAGGATGGCCATTTTTATACTGTTAATCTCACTGATCCATGAACATGGGAGATCTTTCCATCTTCTGATATCTTCTTCAAACTCTTCAAAGATTTGAAGTTTTTATCATATACATCAGTCACTTGCTTAGAGTTATTTATATAATTTGAAGCTATTATGAAAAGCGTTGTTGGCATGAAATCTTTATCAGTCTAGCTACTGATTTGTTTGTTTATATATAAATATGTGTATATATACGTATACATTTATATATATATATATGATTGATTGATATATATGTATACATTCATAAATATGATTGATTGATATATTGACTTTAGTTAAACTTATAGCCAATCTCTTTCTAAAAGTATTTCTCAGCTGTAGGAGTTTCCTGGTAGAAATGATTAGGGTCACTTATGTATACTATCATATCATCTGCAAACTATTTGGCACTCCAAGGCCACTTTGTATTTCTTACACTCAAGTTGCTAAAATAGTCCTAATAATCATGCTGGGTTTTGTTTTTGTTTTTGTTTTTGTTTTTGTTTTTTGTATAACTAGGTTCTAAATAGTTGGTCATTTGAAGAAAAAGAACTGTGAAGACACAAGAGAATTGTAACCCAGAGTGAAATCCAATGATGAAGGCCTAAGCTGATGAAAACATCTTGTCAGTGACTCCAAAGGCTGAATTACATTGAAGCAGCTTCATGTATTTAAGTGGAACCTCATTAACTGGAGACAGCCCTTTCAAACTGGGGCCAAAACATGTTATCTCTACGCATGTCTGAGGGAGGCTACTGAGTTACTATCCATGTCCTAGTGTGTATGCATAATTTAACATAACGAATTGTGAATACACACTGAGTCCTGGTGTTTGAACTGATTGTCTTGAAACAGATCCCGTCTGAAAATGAAACTCATAATGAAAACAGTGCTGAGTTTTATAATATCACATTTTTAAATACTTACTGGTTTGTAAATGTCATGCTAAATTCATAATTAAGAAATAGAAATGTGATATGTCATTTTGACAAGCAGAAGGTATTTTTATTCTTACACAAGTTCTTACATTAACATTCGCAAACAATGAATTCTCTATAGTCACCAAACAGTGACTAGCCAAATCATTAGAAACATTCTGTTAAAAATCAAGCAGATATGATGAAGTGCAAGAGTATAAATATAACATTACTGAAACTTCTTTAAGATTTCTAACTGCCTTATTATACTTAAATTTTTAATTTTTACCTAATGTCAAAAGGCAATGCATTTAAAATGCTAACTTAGAAAACGGAGTAAATATAAATAACATTTTTAGCTACATGAGAAAAAATGAGTCCAACACTACAATGTATTTACTAAAAGAGCCAGGACACATGTGTTTGGGAAAAAGAAGCAGAAAATCAAAATGGGGTCACAGACATTTGAAAGTTTCTATTTCCAGTGGATCCACAGCGCCACCCAATGGCCACATCCATAGGATAGCAAATTAAAAATACGTGTAAATATTGATACATTTTATCATAGCTCTGACCTCAGACACAGCATAAGAGAAACAATTTCAACAAACTCAGATAAAAACCATCATCTTACTCATATTCACTAATGCAAAATTCTCTCTTATACATATTTACTTTGTTGAGAAACCAATTCTTCAACCTATACAATTTATTTGTTAAATGCATATCAATTGTGAAAGACGCATGTTTAATAAAAGCTACTGTCCGTTAAGTATACATTTTAACTCTATTGTTATTTTTCAATATATTCCCCCCAAACAGTTCATTTTTAGGTATTGAACTCTATAGCTATGCCATTTAAAACCTCATATAAACTAGTCATAGATTTAGAAGCCATTTAAGTTAAAGTATCTCTTTGGCATAGTCATAAGGTAATTGAACCATTTTCATTTCATATTAGAGATAATGGATTAAGAATTCCAAACGTATAAAGAAATATTGCAACACCATTGTTCTTTTAAGATATGTTTTGGTTGCAGTAAAGTTGTACTCAACCCAGGACTTGGACCACTATTAAAACAATTAGAATCATATTTTAAGTGTTGCCACAACCTACAAGGTCATCAATAAAACCCTCTATTGCTGACTAAAAATGTTGTTCAGATGAAGACCAGCCTGAAACATTGCCTAATGACAATGGGAAGAAATGGCTCATGAGAGAGAGCATTTTCCTTAAATGTGAGTGATATTATCCTGGGAGCCCAGAATGTCTACTTCGAGGACTGTATCAAATAATCACAAGAGTGAATGGATGAAGGCACGCCCTGCTTTATTTCTTTATCCAGAATATAAATCTCATTCTAATCTTTTCCCTTAACTTAAACTTTGCATATACTTTATTTGACCTTCTCAAACCATAGTAGTAATTTTTAATGTTCATGATTCAGCTTGGAACAAACCACAGGGCTTAACAGTCCTGTGGAAAGAGCTCACCTCTAGAAGCAAGGTCACAGAAAGGTTATCTCCCATCCACCAAACTGTGAAAGCAGCCACAGAAAATAAAAGCTAACTTAGCAAATAAAGTAGTGATATGCAGATCGTCTTAGGAATATGAAGATGCCTGACCTCTTGAAGGAGTTCTCCCAACTGACTTTTGAGAGGTGGGTTTTACAGAAACATTTTTGTGGTGTGTAGTTATAAGATTTTATCAGGAACCTTGGTGAATGTGAGTTCATGAGATTGCATATTTTTTTTCCTCAAGAAATTTATTACTTGTGAATACTTAGGTGGTTTAATCAATATTTTCTTCTGTTCTCTTAGTTACACAGTCTCCCCTAACATTGCTGATTGGCATGACCCATTGGGACATCCTTAATATATAGCAGTATTTCCAAAGTCTGTTGTGCAATCAGCTGCAAAAATATTTTCAGCTAAAAAAAATATTTTAGCTGGTAGATATAATAATTTAACTGTTATAGATTTTTATGATAGTACTACTAGTTTTGAGCTAGAGCATGGCTTCACACTGGCCAAGAAATACAAAGGCAGACCACTGAATATAAACACTAAGGGAACTTGACCCTAAAAGCTTTTAGTTACTGTAAGAAATGATACTTCAACACACTGAGACAATGGGGATGTTCTACTGGGAACTCACCAAGACCAGCTGGCCTGGGTCTGGAAAAGCCTGGGATAAAACCGGACTCTCTGAACATAACGGACAATGAGGACTACTGAGAACTCAAGAACAATGGCACTGGGTTTCTGATCCTACTGCACGTACTGGCTTTGTGGGAGCCTAGGCAGTTTGGATGCTCAACTTACTAGACCTGGATGGAGGTGGGGGGTTCCTTGGACTTCCCACAGGACAGGGAACCCTGATTGCTTTTCGGGCTGAGGGGGGGGGGGGGACTTAATTAGGGGAGGGGGAGGGAAATGGGAGGCGGTGGCTGGGAAGAGACAGAAATCTTTAATAAATAAATAAATTTAAAAAAAAAGAAATGATACTTCATAAAATATGGTACGTACAGAAAAATAACTATGATTTATACTTTAAAATGTCTCCTTGAACAGGTGATAGTTATTTAATTGTTATTTATTTATTTATTGAGCTGAACATCTTTCTCCACTCCCATCCCTTCCTCCCCACCCCCCCATTCTCTCCCATGACCACCATGCTCCCAATTTACTCAGGAAGTCTTGTCTTTTTCTCTTTCCTATGTAGATCCATGTATGTCACTCTTAGGGTCCTCTTTGTTGTCTAGGGTTGTGGACTATAGGTTGGTTTTTTTCCTTTGCTTTATGTCTAGAAGCCACTTGTGAGTGAGTACATATTAAATTTGTCTTTCTCTGTCTGGGTTACTTACTTACTATATTTTTTTCTAGATCTATCCATTTGCATGTCACTTTCAAGATGTAATTGTGGTTGGGTTTTTTTTTTTTTCATTTTCTTTATCCATTCTATGGTCGAGGGATTGAAAAGAGGGCTTAGCCATTAAAGGCTAGGCTCACAACCAAAAATATTTAATTATAATTTAAAGAGTGGAGCTATACCTACCAGAGTTATGCATGTTTTCACTTCCATCAATCTGCCGATGGGATGGCATGAGACCGATACACTAGTTCTTCTGAAGGTTTTCCTTACCTACATGAGACCGATACACTGGCGGTTCTTCTGAGCGCCTTCCTTACCTTTAGTCCCTCACAGCGTCTCTCACGACTTCTGTCCCCTTTGGCTGCTCCACTTCTGTGCTGCCAAGAAACTGAACATGAGCATTCATGAGACACAGGCTTCACTAAACCACCTGGAGCCAACACCCTGCATACGGGAAAGTTAGGCAAAACAATTCAAACACAAATCTTAATTCAGGAGAGCAGTTGTTATTCAATTTGTACATAGCACATGAAAATACGTTATTTGACCATTTATAATTCCTATTTTTCAAAAGATTTTTTAAAAATATAGTTTACTATATATTTTACTTGAAGATCCTACTAGAAAGAAAACTGAAATTATTTCATTGTCTCTGAAGAGATAAACTTAATCTTGAGGTAAAAGTTAGTAAATATGCTAATTTCGTGTTATTGTCTTTTTATTATAATGGCTGATTGTTATAATCAGTCATTTTCTCAAGGCTAAAATACACCCAGAAAAATAAAATACACCCAGAATGATGTGCACTTTTGAAAGTTTAAGTTCAAAAGATATACATGCTTTATGTGGTTACTACATTAAACTGTAATAGAATCTTTAACATTTATCATTCCAAATAAGCATTTTTCTTTGTTTTCAAATTATTAAACTCCTATAATATGTAGAATCTAAAAGTCATATTTTAAAACATTCAGTATAAACTGTTCAATAATGTACATACACTAAATGTATAAACTAAAATATACACAACCTACAAATTCACTATTTTTCTAAAATAACCCTGAAGTTGCTAGAGTTTTGTTAAAGCTTGGGAATAATCCCCAGTGTAAATATCCTAAGGATCATGACCTTGTGTGTCAGTGCCGATGCTGGAGTACATTACATCTCCCAACAAAGGCCACCATGTCAGCTCATTGCACCAGAAGTCTGTGGTTTCTCTCCTTGAAGTGTTCTTCATAGATCGCAATTAATCAGTAAACTCATCAAGTGTACAAAATTTCCCAAAGACTATTCTGTTCTTGTCATATACCACAGATCATAATACCAAGTGGCATCACTTTTCATAGCTACGGGGTGCGTGCACATTTTAGAGGAAGTGATTAAGTAAAGAATCCTGATAAGATTCTGTGTGTTAATGTGCAGAACGGAAGAGAATAATAAGGTCGCAGCATCTCATTTTCTTTGCTTCAATCTTGAAAAATGAAGTAGTAATTAATCTAGGTCCTCATTTTTCTTTCTTCTTAAAGAAAAGGATGTGCATGGGTGTTTTGCCTACTGTACGGGTGTCCTCCTGGAACTGAAGTCACAGAGAGTTTTGAGCTCTCACGTGGGTTTGGAGAACTAAACTGGGGTCCTCTGGAAGAGCAGGCAGTACTTTGAAACACTAAGTCATCTCTCTAGTCCCTCCCATTTTAAAACATGTTCTCTGTCCTGTCCTGAGAATTACTGTGATAGAAAATTAAGCAATAAGATAAGGAATTTCCTTTGTCAAACATATCAGACTCTCTAGGGATACGTTCAGGAAATTATTTTCCTGAGGCTGATTCTCTGCACTGAAGTTTGTGAACAGCTGGCAGAGAGCAGGAGATGGAAGCAGTAGACAGAGGACAAAAATGTGAGCTGAAAACACTGTGGCTTTCCCTCTGAGGAGCTCATGCAGGGAAGAAAGTATGGTACCTCTGCACTGAGATTAAGATACAAGACTATTTTTCTAACTAGGACACACAGGTTACCTTAAACAACTGTTCCTGAGGCTTAACACAAGCTCTCCTAATGGTGACACCGTGTTGTTGACTGATTAGGTGTACACAGAAGACTAAAGAAAGAGATTCTTTGTTTACGAAGTGGGTGACCCTTTAATCCCAGCACTCGGGAGGCAAAAGCAGGTGGATCTCTGTGAGCTCGAGACCAGCTTGATCTACAAGAGCTAGTTCAAGGATAGGCTCCAAAGCTACAGAGAAACCCTGTGTCAAAAAAAGAAGGAGGAGGAGGAAGAGGAGGAGGAGGAGGAGGAGGAGGAGGAGGAGGAGGAGGAGGAGGAGGAGGAGAAGAAGAAGAAGAAGAAGAAGAAGAAGAAGAAGAAGAAGAAGAAGAAGAAGAAGAAGAGGAAGAAGAAGAAGACAGTGACAGCTAAACATAGCTGGACATCAATTGGCCTGCCACAGTCTTCTGTTTTACATCAGTATTTTTAACCTTGATCTCATGAAAGATCTTCCCAAGGCTGAGTGCAGTTATCACCCATGCCTACCAGTTATATTTCATAGGTCTGCAGCAGAGCCAGGATGTCTGCACATATTAATCTCCAGAGCTGGTATGAAGGTGCCAGGGGTTGGAAAGCACCATGTCAGGTCACATAAAAGATGAAGGGTTCAAAAACAGAAGGTTCAACAGAAAAGAAGCTTTATAGATTAAAATGAATGGATATAGGGTAGACTCCTTCCCTCAGCTTCTCTGAATTTTTCAAAGCCAGTGACAGACTCACCACTAAACTATCATTAGCAAGAAGAGTAAGGGGCTACTGCTTTATATAAAGGATTTGAGAAGCTCAAACATGATGTACTAGAATGAGCTCGCTAACATTTTCACACTCCCAATCTAGAGCTCCTTCTAGTACATCATAGGACACACACTCTGAGTTTAATCCCAGCATTACATGAAACATATTATGCCTGTAATCCCAGTACTCTGGAGGTACCAAGGCAGAAAAATCAAAACTTCAATAGATAGGCATGGTGACACACTCCTTTAATTGCAGATGGAGTTCTGTGAGTTAGAGGATAGCCTGGTCGATGTAGTCAGTCATACAGTGAGATCCTTTCCCACACACAAAAGGACAAAATCATTCCCAGCTAAACAGGAAGTTCAAGGTCATTGACACAGCTAAAAGTAATGTATAATGTTGGAGGAGTTAACATATTGCAAGTAATATTATGGAAGTTGGGAATGAATTAGAGAACCAAATGAAGCAAACAAACAAACACCCTTGTTCGCTGTATTGGTAGCATCAGCGTTGTCAGTAAAAATTGTTTTAAATATGAATTCCAGTGGCTCATAAACAACGAGGGACCTAGCCCCATGATTCTGTCTCTCTTTTCCACCATCCTCACGAATAGGAGAAATATACCAAGAAGCCTAACAGTCAACCCCATGGAGTCGGAGAAAGAGAGAACAGGAGAAAAATGACTGCATTCCACCAATCAAAGTTACAAGTTCCAGAGTAATAGAGGCAGCATGGTGGGAATTACAAAAGCACATGTCAGCACGACACCATACGCCAGAGATATGGGGACAAATTATAAAAATCCTACACAGAAGCCAGAATCAACGTAAAATCAGAAGGGGAATCTGGAAGAAGGAAGCTGGTCGGAACAGGAGGAGCTGAAGAGAGCAGAAGAGGAGGTGAATGAGAAACTGTGTACAGAGAGAGAGAGAGAGAGAGAGAGAGAGAGAGAGAGAGAGAAGCGGAAACATTATTGTCTCAAAGGCTTGAAGACAGAGACTGCAAAGATCTTGGGTTCCCAAGGAGTTGCTATGACTCCTCAGAAGCACCGCTACTACAAAGGTCTTGTGTGCAAACTCAGAAGAGATGATAGGAAGAACAGAAGGTGGGGGTCACTAACACCATAAAGTTCCCAGAGTTAGCGATGCAGTTGCTTGCTGCTACTGCTGCTGGAGGCAATAAGAAGGTCCATCTACTGTAATCTACTGACCTAAACCCAAAACATTTGGGGCAATCCTAGTCTGTACTGAAAAGTGTGGCAGCGTGGTATATGTTTTTCTCATAATTTAAAAGCTATCCCTTCTCTTTATTAATGTTACTAGATGCCTTTGATAAATACAGATCTGATATCTACAACTATAGATGTTATTTTAAAAATATTCCACACAGAGAATATGCGTGATCTCTAGGTTCAATGTATGGAAAACTTACAGTCTAGTAAGATGCCAGCGGTGGTGGTACACGTTTTTAATCCCAAACCTGAGAGGCCAAAGCAGGTGCCTCTCTGTGAGTTCGAGGCCAGCCTGGTCTACAAGAGCTAGTTCCAGGACAGGCCGCAAAGCTACAGAGAAACCCTGTCTCGAAAAATCAACAAAAAAAGTGATCATCTCACAGTCTAAAGTCTACTGAAACTGAAAGTATGAAAATGTTCATTCAGTTTGCTAGTGCATAAAATACCTGCACTATTAAAGAGCATATTAAAATGTCGTATGGATTAATATTTATCAAATACAATTATCAATAAATGAAAGTGGCACAGAGCTCAGTGACGTCATTCCCCTGTTCTTTTATTTTTGTTGATATTCCTTCATGCCATCATATTCACAATAAGCACTGTACAGAAGTATGGAAAAGTTTGAGAGTTCCACCCTCGTTTTCAAAGATTACTTAAAATGAACTGTTTTGAAGCGTGTGGTAGACTTTGCTTCTTCTTTACCAGGAGAGGGCAGTGTTGCACAGCACACTACGCAGCCATTTGAACTGCTATGTTTGCTTCTATCACTCCAGAAAAGAACGTGTAGAACAGAATGTAAATAAGTTAAAATTAAAAACAATTAAGTAACTAAGGGTTTATCCAGTCTGCCAAGAAATTTGTCATTATCTAGCACACGAAGGTCTAAATTTATAACAAAAAATACAAAATGTACATTTTACTTCAAATTTAAAATATTCCTCTTTATTGTATGCATTTGCTATATATTTGCTATAAGTGTTAACGGGAAAGCATGTTAAAATATAAAAAAAAATCTTTAAGACCAAGATTAATGAATAAAGAATCTTGGTGGTATAATAACTAATGATATTCTGATTAGAGGAAAACAGGCAAATGAGAATATAGCCTTGTATCCAACAACACTGACTATAAATATCATAGGATGAATCTTCTAAGTCAACTTGACATGATTAATTTTAAATGAATTTTAAAAAGCACTTTTTATTTAGTCAGGTGGTGATGGCACATGCTTTTAATCCCAGCACTCGGGAGGTGGAGGTAGATGAATCTCTGTGAGTTCGAGGCCAACCTGGTCTACAAGAGCTAGTTCCAGGACAGGCCTCAAAGCTACAGTAAAACCCTGTCTCAAAAAAATAAACAAACAAAAAGCGCTTTT